TTTGGAAATTTTGGAACGTTATTGAAAATATGTAAAACCGATAATTTTGAAAATTCTGATTATTCCGATGATTTCGAAAATTTTGTACATTTCTAAAGTTTTGGAAATTTTCAAATCTTTGGAAACTGAGAAATTGTCAAAATCTGATAATTTTGGAAGCACGAGATATTTAAATTTAAATCTCGGAATCAATCTAAAAATCCTGAGTATTTTTAAAAATTTGAAGTTTTAGAAAATTTTGAAACCTGATTTTGAAAATTTTGGTAATACCGATAATTTCGAAAATTTTGGAAATTACTGAAGTTTTGGAAATTTTGGCATCTTTGGAAAGTAGTAAATTGTTAGTATCTGAAAATTTTGAAATGTTTTTAAATTTGATACTTTTTGAAATTTCATGAAAATTTGGAAAATTCCTGAAAATTTTGAGAATTTCAATTATATTGAAAATTTTGAAATTGTGGAATTATTTTCAAAATCTTATAAATTCGATGATGAAATTTTTAGAAAATTTTGAAATCTGATAATTTTAAAAATTTAGAATTCTTTTAAAATATTGATGATATCGATAATCCTGAAAATATCGGGAATATTGAACGTTTTTGAAAAATGCTTTCATCATAATTTTGAAAACTCGAATAAATTTGAGAATTTTGAAAACTGATAAATTTGAAATTTTTTGTTATACCGATAATTTCGAAAATTTTGAAAATACCGAACGTTATCGAAAATTTTAAAACCGATAATTTTGAAAATTCTGATGATCCCGATTAGTTCGAAAATTTCAAAACTTTTGGAAATTTTTTTAAATCTTTGGAAACTGATAAATTGCCAAAATCTAAAAATTTTTAAATCTTTAAATTTTAATGAAAATGACAATTAATTAATGACAATTTTTTAGAATTTTGAAAACTTGAAATATTTAAATTTAAATCTTGGAATCAATTTAATTAATTTTTAAAATTTTGAAGATTTTAGAAAATTTTGACAACTGATATTTTTGAAAATTTTGATAATACCGATAATTTCGAAAATTTTGAAAATTACTGAAGTTTTGGAAATTTTGGCATCTTTGTAGTAAATTGTTAGTATCTGAAAATTTTGAAATGTTTTTAAATTTGATAATTTTTGAAATTTCATGAAAATTTGGAAAATTTCTGAAAATTTTGAGAATTTCAATTATATTGAAAATTTTGAAATTGTGGAATTATTTTCAAAATCTTATAAATTCGATGATGAAATTTTTAGAAAATTTTGAAATCTGATAATTTTAAAAATCTTGGTGATAGTGATAAGTTAGAAAATTTTGAAAATACCGAACCTTATTGAAAATATTTAAAACCGATAATTTAGAAAATTCTGATGATTCCGATAATTTCGACAATTTTGGAAATTACCAAAGTTTTGGAAATTTTGGCATCTTTTAAAATTAGTAAATTGTCAATATCTGAAAATGTTGCCTTTTTTCAAATTCTGATGATTTTAAAAATCCTGAAAATATTGACAATTATTATGACAGTAAATCCACGATTCATCACCACTAATAATGGTGTACACATTTTTTGATTTTCCGGTCATACGTTTTTTGACACCAATTAACCCTGGCTGCTTTCTGCTCTTCAGTCAACAGGTGGGGTACCCAACGAGAAACTAATTTTCTTACTCCTAATTCTTCATGTAAATTTTTTTGAATCGAGGTCTTTGAGATCTTCAAGGACGCCTCAATCTCGCGATATGTCACATGTCTATCTTCAATGATGAATTTGCGCATAGCATCGAGGTCTTCCTGGGTGACTGCCGTTTTTGGTGCATCCACCCTGGGATCGTTTGAATTCTCCATACCAACGGGAAATTGTCGACTGATGTGGCGCTTCGTTGCCGAAAACAGACAGTAACTCAGCAAGGCATCCTTGTTGCGATAATTGTCTCTGAAAGTTGTAATAAATTATGGCGCGAAAATGTTCTCGGTTGAGTTCCATTTTTCTAATGACTTGGTGACTCTTAAAAATTCACTGTATTGAGAACACTGCACGTATTGTTGTGAAACTTTGAATTTAAGCTTACTAAAGAGTGAGGTTAAGATTCAGTACTGACGTTCGATCCGCGCGGCCTACTATGTTTCTATATGCAAAACTTAAAAGGCATTCCTCGTACTGTGACATTTCGAGAATGCCTTTGTTTTCTGATATTCGGGTTTTAAAAACACGTAATAAGAAACACTTACGTGTTAATGAAGTTTGAAGATGATTACTATGCAAAGACTTTGATCGAGTAGCGGCGTTTCTGATCGAGAACAAGCATTTCCACAGTATGCCCAGTTTTTAACCTTTGGTGATAGCCAAAAAACGTTTTGGATAGTTCAAAGTTATCATCAATATTCGATCACTTTACAAAATATTCATGAAAACTTCCAGAACAAAGCGTGAATTCAACCTAATTCAAACACTACAAATCCATATCATTTCCTTTTCTAGACACTGAAACCATCTCGTCAACAATGTTGCAAACACAACTTGGAATAGCGCCACATGCGACATACATATGTATCTATTTGTAAAAAATTGTTTATTCAATTAGAACAGAGCTGAATGAAATATTGTGACAATCGCAAACCGTCGGCGGTCAGTTCGCTTTGCGTAGTGCCGCTAAAAAAAGTCGAATCGTAACGCGTGTGCGGAAGACGCCATGTTTGTCCCATACCAGGATGCTATATGCAGACACATGCAAATGTGGCTCGTTAATCTCCATACGCCTAGACGCAAAATGCTGGACAGCACGATCATGCTTCTGTTTCTCCTTGCGTATACGATGCTTTCGTCTAGCTTTTTAGAAAATATTCTAAATCCCATTGCAAACGTGCTTATATTCTTTTTCACGAATCTGCTCCGCGTCAAACATGACAGCAAATGACGGCTGATTATCTAGTAATATTCCAAAGTAATCGACAAGAGACAGACAGGTCTGTCAATGTGGTGGTGGTCTTTCCTATTCTTCGTATTCATACTTCCTAACAATGCTTTCATTCGTCAAGTAGTGTGACTCTGCATTATATCCAGGATAGAGGATACTTCTGTGCTTTGTCTGTTGTCCCAGAGGCCAAACCTAGACCAAGCTGAGTTGCCAGAAAGGAATTTCCTCATTGTGACATCACCTATGCGCTCTGTAAAGGAAGGTTCTAACTTCGAGAACACCCCGAATTTTTCGGTTTACAACATCAGAAGTGGGATAGAATCTTTCTTGCCTTATCGGCATATTCGGGATTTTTGATACCGTCCTAGACTATTGTGGCGAAAATGGGTCTGCGTTGTTTAGAGGGAGTGGAGTATAATTAGGGCTTCTCGATGAGATGAAAGTGAGAAAAAGGACTTCGAATGCGGTTATAAAGGTACCGATACTGTAAGGAGAAGACAACATTCGGAGAATACGACGAAAGAAACAATCTCCGTTTAAGCTTTATATTTTGATAATGATTAAGTAATGAGACCGCTTTTTTAAATATACAGGGTGTCCGCAAAGTTGGGATTTTCCTTTTCAGAAACAACTACCCTTGAAATAACAAAGGTAATGTGTAGTGAAATGAGGGCGACCAAGTAAAAAAAAATAAAGAAAAAAGTACTCACTCTCCAGTTGACGAGAAGGGCTAAGTACGTCTCTGCCCGAAATCATACCGCTCAAACAGAAAATGAAATCAGCTGATACGCTACCGAGCAGACGCCGGCGGTGGTGCAGACCAGTACACCACGAACAGAGGTAACAAATATGACCATCGTGCAGACACCACATTGATTGTCTTACACTTAATGGCACATCTTTTAACAAGGAAGGCAAAATGTTGCGTAAAAAGTCTAGGTAATGCATCCCGTCCAATCGATTTGGGAGAATAAATGGTCCAATGAGCATACCGTTCACCATGCCAGCCCAAACATTCACCGAAAATGTTTGTTGAAAATGTGCCCGACGGACAGCGTGCGGATTTTCTACTGACCAAACATGAGTGTTGCGAAAGTTATTCACCCCATTACGCGTGAACGTAGATTCGTCTGTCACCAATATGCACTTCAAAAAGTCCGGATTATTGTCATGTTGATGCAACTACCACTCACAAAACCGCACTCTTGCTGGAAAATCGTCAGGTTGAAGGGCTTGTACACGTTGGACGTGAAACGGATACAGCCCCTCTTCACGCAGCGTTTGCTACACTTTAGTTTTTGATACTTGCACTTCTCTAGCCACGTCTCTAGTGCTTGTTGAGGGATTCTCGTCTACGCGATTACCTCTACACGCGTGACCGTAACCGTCGGTTGAAGGTTGCATACTGACCTGACACACTGACCCCGACCCAGTTCTGTCGTCGGATTGAGCTAGTGTCCTAGTACCAGTCGGGGATGTCGCGAGTCGCGGCTACAGGACGGTATTCAGATATTTTTGATGTTGCAGAGCCCTTTATCTCGGTTCCCTTAAGACATTGGTGCATATGGTACTAAGAAAAATTGCTTATGTTTCTCGTGTAAAGCAAAACCCCAACTTTGCGGTCACCCTGTATATATCAAATAATTTTTGACACAATAAAATAAACTGTTTTGCAAAAAAAAATGGTTACGGACAACCAAATGACTCGATCGAATTCAAACTTGTACTGAAGGTGGATCACATGTTCCGCTGTCTCCCCTCCGAGCCTGGCGCCTCCAGCGTTGCCAGATCCGACGCTGCGATGCCATGAGAGCGTATTTCAGAAGACTCCAAAATTCGAGTATGACCAGAATGATCCTGAGTATGGGGTAAGTCCACTGATTCATCAATTCAAAATAGAGGCTTAGGTTTCTTCATCTGCGGAAACTGATTTCACAACTGTTTTTGTTTTATGCGTGCATTTTTAGTTAAAAAATGAAATGGAAGCTGCAAATACCTATCAGAAGAAGTAAGAAGCGTTTTGTCGTTTTGTCGAATTATCTGTAAACTATTTCGATATAGGTGTTGCAAACATTTTTTTTTCTTTAATTTAGACCTATTCCGGGCTGTTTTGTGTGGTGGTCAACCCCTACAAGAAGCTGCCTATTTACACAGAAAAGATCATGGAGAGGTATAAGGGGATCAAACGACATGAAGTTCCACCTCATGTTTTTGCCATAACAGACACTGCCTATAGGTCGATGTTACAAGGTAAACAATTCGATTTCCTTAAAAAATAATAAGAAAATACTATACGATTAAAAAATGATCTATCAGATATATAAAATATACATGCATTTGTAGCCTTCAGAATATATATTCAAAGACCCTGTTCAACTAATGATAGCGTCGGTAGATTCAAAATAAACGGACATGTAACCAACCATTTAATTTAATTGAAATTTATTACAATGTATTCGAAAAATTAAATTAATTACGATTATTGTACGTTCACAAATTATTACGTCTGGTGTATTTATTTATGAATCTGCCTCTGTACACGCCTCATTGGTAATAAGATAGTGATTTGTGTTAGATTCTATTTAGGTTCTGATTATTATCACGGATGCAAGTTTGACTTGGATCCAGCGGTGTGGAAATTTATTTTAATATAGGTCAAGATAAACCGACAATAATTGACAACAAATATTTGTTGCATTTGGAAATTTATTAGGAGATTACTCTTTAATTGAGCAATTACGTTGTTAAGAATACCTCATTGATAAAAACGTTGTTATTGATATGAACTCATCACCAGAAACTTTAATATCCTCGGGGGTGCTCCAAGGAACAGCGCCTGGACCACTTCTTTTTGTTCTTTAAATAGCTGATCTAGACAAAAGTGGTAAAATTTGCAATACACAATTCTTTGCCGATGATTCTCAAGTATACAACAACAACAGTGACAAAATTATAGTTACAGAATCTCAAATAAATGAGGATTTGAAGGCTACTAATGATTAATTAAATATTAATTATTGATTATTAATTACCAATTAAAAATTATCAAGCATTAAATATTGAATATTAAATAATTATTACTTATTATTTATTAATTATTAATTATTAATTATTAATTTTTAATTATTAATTATCAATTATTAATTATTAATTATCAATTATCAATTATCAATTATTAATTATTAATTATTAATTATTAATTATTATTTTTATGTTTAATTTTTAATTTTAATTTTTAATTTTTAATTTTAATTTTTAATTTTAATTTTTAATTTTAATTTTTAATTTTTAATTTTTAATTTTTAATTTTTTAATTTTTAATTTTTTAATTTTTAATTTTTAATTTTTAATTTTTATTTTTAATTTTTAATTTTTAATTTTTAATTTTTAATTTTTAATTTTTAATTTTTAATTTTAATTTTTAATTTTTAATTTTTATTTTTAATTTTTAATTTTTACTTTTTAATTTATTTTTAATTTTTATTTTTAATTTTTATTTTTAATTTTTATTTTAATTTTTCCTTTTTATTTTTAATTTTTTTTAATTTTTATTTTTAATTTTAATTTTTAATTTTTTTTAATTTTTAATTTTTATTTTTTTTTAATTTTAATTTTTAATTTTTAATTTTACTTTTTATTTTTAATTTTATTTTTTTTTTTTATTTTTAATTTTCCTTTTCATTTTTCATTTTTAATTTTTTTTTTTATTTTTTTTTTTTTTTATTTTTATTTTTCCTTTTTAATTTTTCTTTTAATTTTTATTTTATTTTTATTTCCTTTTAATTTTTCCTTTTTTTTCTTTTTAATTTTTATTTTTCCTTTTAATTTTTTTTTAATTTTTCATTTTCCTTTTTAATTTTTCCTTTTCCTTTTTCCTTTTTTTTTTTTTCCTTTTACTTTTCAATTTTTCCTTTTTCCTTTTCCTTTCCTTTTTTTTTTCCTTTTTCCTTTTTCCTTTTTCCTTTTCATTTTTATTTTTCCTTTTCCTTTTCACTTTTTTCCTTTTTCTTTTCCGTTTTTCCTTTTCCATTTCCCTTTTTCCTTTTTCATTTTCCTTCTCCCTTCTTCCTTATTAATCTCCTTCTCCTTCTTCTTCTTCTTATCGCTTCTCGCTCCGCCGACTACGCTTCACTCGTACCTTACCACTATCGATCGATTATCGATCATGAAATCATTAATCATTAATCATTAATTATTAATTATATTACTAATTATATTAATTATCAATTATTAATTAAACTATTAATTATCGACCATCATTTATCACTTATTAATTATTCATTATTTTATGAAACTGAGTGTAATTTTAATTGATGTGGTGTTATGTATTTGTTTAGAAAGGGAAGACCAGTCCATACTTTGTACGGGAGAGTCCGGCGCTGGCAAAACAGAAAATACGAAAAAAGTGATCCAATATTTAGCGTATGTAGCAGCATCAAAATCACCGAAAGGCTCAGGAGCGGTGAGTACCGACTATATTTTCATTATTATCAAGTATATTTAATCCATATTTGTACATACTATTTAATTTTTTTTGTAAAATATCATTTGCACAATTTCATCTGTCCAATAGGCGCACATTTATCACCATTCTCTTTTAAGCAAAAATACACTGCAAGTGCATGTGTAGATTTGAATCGCCACCGTTACGCAAAACATATAAGAACAAATTGGGGTCCAACACAGTAAAATAATCAAAAAAAAAAAAACCCTCGGGAAATATTGTCAAAACTTAGAGGACGGAATTTGTGTTATTAAAAATGTTCTTTTAAGATATAATTGTTGTTCTCATTTAAAAACGATTTTAAATAATTTTTGACGTAACTTGTTTTGTCTATGCGTTATTTGGAAAAGTCATAGTAATAAAAAAACTGGAAATTTTCCATTGCTGTTTTCCATTTACACATTTTTCTCTGCAATGTTGGATCCCAATACTTCACATTTATATTCAATTTTATTTTTTTGCACTTTTTTCTAATTCTTATTTCTCCTTCCTTTTTGCATGTTTTCTCCTATTGGTGGTATGCAGCAGAAAGACCTTATCGTAAGTAGTAATGCATTTTATTTATTTTTCTTTTTTTTGGGTTACTGTGTATTTGGGAAATTCCTGTAGATATCTCATGTAGTTACACATTTTATGTCAGAATGCTCGGTAAATATTATGGATGTTTGTTTAAGTATTAGATATCGAACGTATTTTTCGTATATGTCGAATGACTCATTCTATTCTCGTTATGTGTTTCTTTGACGCTATGATGTAATATACTTAAAATAGTATAACAAGTTACAGGAATACGATAAAGTCGACTTTTTTATTTAATTGTTTTCAACGTTTTTTTATCTTTATTCTTTTTTAATGAAAAAATCAACATCTCGGTTGCTATGACAAATAAAAAAGGTTTACATAAAAATATACCACATTTTACGGGAAATATCTGATATGTGAAATAAAAAATTCATATAGAATGTATATTACATACATTGGTGGAGAAGTATGCTTTATATCCTGAGGGTGACTTTGAAGTTGAGTCATTAATTTTCAGATAATGATTGTAGAAGGAAGATAAACCAAAATATGTGTGTAAAAATAAAAAAAAAATGTTACCTTGTTTTATAAAGTATCCTCCCGACAAGTATTTCAGTGCGGACCTGTATTTGATCGTGCGGTCTTGGAGCACCGGCATGCCCTCCCCTGTGAGGTCTTAAGTCACCTGATTCACGAGCCCATTCAGCATTTTCGTAAACATGTGCCATTTTTTATTTCGTTTGAGCCACGCAACAAACACCACTATTCACTCACGCGTTACCGACTGACACATTGACTAAATACAACTGAATAAAATTGTACGTATACATTGTAGTAAAAACATCGTTTCAAATTCTTTCGCTTTTTTGTTTCCGATGCGATGAACGGATAAGGCGGATTATATCCGTTGTTGCCAAACACGAGCACATAATATTATTATTGAGACAGGGCGGTACTCAAACTTCTAAAGGGCTATAACTTTGTTACTTTAATTTTACCAGAAAAATGTTAAAGGACAAAAAACATTTCTTTTGATCAGATCTACTCTCTGTTAAAATAAATGACTCAACTTCGAAGTCACCCTGTAGATATGTCCTTTTCCAGTGACGTGTTTATAGATTTGTTTCACTTTTAACTATGATATATTACCACAATTAAATTGATTAGATTTTGAAAAATAGCATATGTAAAAAATTTTGAACGTCCGGCAACACTGTACGAATAAAGCACACGCAAAGTTGTTGCTACATGATAAATTTCGACAAAAATAAAAGATGCAAATCGTTCATTTTAAACTATTTTCCAATTTATCGCGTAGCATGAGACTTTCAAGGTGTAAAAATAATATAATGTATAAATACAATCAACAATAATAATTTTATTTATAAAATAGAGTCTGTATTGATTTGTCGTGAACAATAACAGAGATCATCTAGAAAAGTTTAATGCACATGAAAATTTTTGTGAGTCTGTGTAATTACAGTAATATTAAAGAATAGATGAAGGATTTAATAGTAATGACAGTTCTGTGCCCAACAAGCCAAATAAATTATTATTTACCTGGGGATTTTTCATTTCAAAATAATATTTTTTTTATGAAAAAGTTTTAGAATAAATCCATAGCAAGAGAGATATTTGATTCTTGCTTTGAAATATATTATTGTTTCAGAAAATTCCGAAATGATAGACCTTTTTCCAAAAAGAGTTATTTTGTTTTCTATCATGCCTTATTTACGAATGCTCACATTTTTGTTTGCCATTTTGGAATTTTCGCTTTTTACGAATTAGTTTGTAGACGTGATTTTTGCGACAAATTAGCGCATGTTTTTGTTTTTTTACATGCGGTCCATGCCAGAGCCCGACTAGGGAGTTTTCGGTATGTAAGTTTGATGTTTTGGCCAGCAACATAGGTGTGCATTGTGCATATACCAATAACAAAAAAAAATCATACATTCACACATTTTACATAACCTGGCATTTTCGATCATAGTTTAGATATTTCTCGATCATCACAGGATGTCATGCCTCATAGCATTCCAGTTCTGACCTAGGCTAGCAGGAAATTTATTAATCGTCATTAGAATTAAGAGTTAGTATTACTAGAATATTATAAAAAAAAAATAAATAAATCATCGAAACTAAATTTATTTTTCGAAAAAAGTACACGTCAGAAATATTTAAATACTTGGTAGCTATTTTTAAAAATATTCACTGAAAGCAGACATAATTCTGAAGAGTTGTTGGGAAAATCCAGATAGCATGAAGTTTATTAGGTGTGAATAAACAAATAAAATAGCAGCAAAAATGTTATTTCTCATCAAACACATAAATAAACATTGCGATTTAAACAAAACTATTACGTTATGAAATGTATCCAAAGAATGGTTCAGTTTTTGTTAATAAATTTCGTCGTTTGTAATTTGCTTTTCAACCGAGAAATATCTCAATGCCTCATTTAGTTAATTTTTCTGGCCAAGTTGATGCTCCTTAGACTTGCATCTTTTTTGATCACGCCATATTTGTTATCAGGAAAAATAAGTGAACAAACGTATAGAAATAAAAAATACATTATATAAAAATTAATCAAGGTTTGGTCACACTTCTTACTTAGAAATAAATGTTTGTGCTTTGATGTGCATGTAGAGTTGCATTGGAAGTTTTTAGGAATGGGATTTTAGCAGATGCTTGCAATTTGCGCTCGTTTAAGGCCACTTTGCGATTTTTTTTTCAAATGTTACCACAACGAAAACGAAAACTCAATTTTGGACAAAAAAGTGGAATGTTTGATTTTGCATTATTTTAATGGGATGTTTCCAGCTGTGTGATTTCTATATGGAATTTGAGCTGATATCCGTAGCAAGGAAATAAATACGTTGTTTATGTTTTGATCGCATTTGTAGCCAATTTAATTTAATTGCAACATTGATAACCTTTTCGTGAACTGTTCACACTTTTACGCTACCTTAAAGCAACCAGTAACAGATTTTACAACTGGTGCAATCTTGTGGTCGAAGATTAATTGATTTTGACCTTTCGTTCGTCAAAAATTATTGTCTATTAATATTTTTTTTTCTTAGATCTAGATTATGAAATCAATTAATATGAGAAACATTTTGAATTTGCTTATGATTTTAGTCTGATGGCGAGGGCGCGCGTAAAAAATTCGTGGCATGAAAAGTGTCAGAATAAAAATATAAAATCCACGACCAAAGGAAGACGTGAAACAATTAGTGATAAATGGATCTGCTTTAGCTTTTTTTTAGCTAATATTCAATATTTTCACCACACATAAGCATTTTTTTGTTTGTTTTGTTTTCACACTAATACAGACAATATTAGTGAATCAATGAATCCTTTTTATCTCGAGTTACGTGTGGGTTTTTACTAATACTATAATTATTTGTAAACATATATTACAGTATTTGATCGATGTTTTTTTCTACAGGGAGGATTAGAACAACAATTACTTCAAGCAAACCCCATCCTAGAAGCATTTGGTAATGCCAAAACTATCAAGAACGACAACTCTTCACGATTTGTAAGTATCGGGATACTCAGTAAATGTATATTATTTACTTCTAAATCATTTAAGCAAAAATTATTAACATCGATTATAAACAAAAAGTCTAGCATTTACTACATTATCTATAATCGCGACATAAACAACATAAAGGTACTCATCCGCAGCTCCGTATCGCACCAAAGAGTCCGTTGAGTGGACGCGTACCTTTAAAATAATTGGCTATTATGGGTTTTCGTATGGTTTTGACTCATATTTCGATATCCTCGTTCTCATTTTTCTCTAGCATTTATTAGATTGCCTAAAATCGTTACATAAAGGCACTCATCCACAGCTCCGTATCGTGGGCGCGTACCTTAAGAATTATTAATTGGCATCTTAAGGGTTTTCGTATGGTTTTTGATTCATATTTCGATATCCTCGTTTTCATTTTTCTCTAGCATTTATTAGATTGCCTAATATCGTTACACAAAGGCACTCATCTGCAGCTCCGTATCGTGGGCGCGTACCTTAAGAATTATTTAAATATATTTGCCTCCTTTTTCTAGTATTTACTACATTGTCGGTAATCGCGACATAAAGAACATTAAGGTACTCATCCACAGCTCCGTATCGCACTCAAGAGTCCGTTGAGTGGACGCGTCCCTTTAGAATAATTGGCTATTTTGGGTTTTCGTATGGTTTTGACTCATATTTCGATATCCTCGTTCTCATTTTTCTCTAGCATTTATTAGATTGCCTAAAATCGTTACATAAAGGCACTCATCCACAGCTCCGTATCGTGGGCGCGTACCTTAAGAATTATTAATTGGCATCTTAAGGGTTTTCGTATGGTTTTTGATTCATATTTCGATACCCTCGTTCTCATTTTTCTCTAGCATTTATTAGATTGCCTAAAACCGTTACATAAAGGCACTCATCCACAGCTCCGTATCGTGGGCGCGTACCTTAAGAATTATTTAAATATATTTGCCTCCTTTTTCTAGTATTTACTACATTGTCGGTAATCGCGACATAAAGAACATAAAGGTACTCATCCACAGCTCCGTATCGCACACAAGAGTCCGTTGAGTAGACGCGTACCTTTAGAATAATTGGCTATTATGGGTTTTCGTATGGTTTTTGACACATATTTTGATATCCTCGTTCTCATTTTTCTCTAGTATTTATTACACCGCCTAAAATCGTTACATAAAGGCACTCATCCACAGCTCCGTATCGTGGACGCGTACCTTCAGACTGATAAATATTTTGATATATTTGTTTCCATTATGTTCTAATATTTACTACATTGTCTATAATCGTGACAAAAAACATAAAGGTACTCATCCACATCTCCATATCGCACTCAAGAGTCCGTTGGGTGGACGCGTACCTTTATAATAATTGGCTATTATGGGTTTTCGTATGGTTTTGATTCATATTTCGATATCGTCGTTCTCGTCTTTCTCTAGTATTTATTACACTGCCTAAAATCGTTACATAAAGGTACTCATCCACAGCTCCGTATCGCACTCAAGAGTCCGTTGAGTGGACGCGAACCTTTAGACTGAGAAATATTTTGATATATTTGTTTCCATTATGTTCTAATATTTACTACATTGTCTATAATCGTGACAAAAAACATAAAGGTACTCATCGACTTCTCCATATCGCACTCAAGAGTCCGTTGGGTGGACGCGTACCTTTAGAATAATTGGCTATTATGGGTTTTCGTATGGTTTTGATTCATATTTCGATATCGTCGTTCTCATCTTTCTCTAGTATTTATTACACTGCCTAAAATCGTTACATAAAGGTACTCATCCACAGCTCCGTATCGCACTCAAGAGTCCGTTGAGTGGACGCGTACCTTTAGAATAATTGGCTATTATGGGTTTTCGCATGGTTTTGGTCCATATTTCTATATCCTCATTCTCATGTTTGTCTAGTATTTATTACACCGCCTAAAATCGTTACATAAAGGCACTCATCCACAGCTCCGTATCGTGGACGCGTACCTTCAGAATGATTAATATTTTGATATATTTGCTTCCACTATTTTCTAGTGTTTGCTACATTGTCTATAATCGCGACATAAAGAACATTAAGGTACTCATCCACAGCTCCGTATCGCACTCAAGAGTCCGGTGAGTGGACGCGTACCTTTGGAATAATTGGCTATTATGGGTTTTCGTATGGTTTTGATTCATATTTTGATATCCTCGTTATCATTTTTCTCTAATATTTATTACATTTATCGTATGGTTTGTATTGAAATTTTGTTATTGCTTCATTGCCTATAATCGCTACATAAAGAAGACAAAGGTACTCATCCACAACTCCGTGTCGCACTAATAGTTCGTTCTGTGGACGAGTACCTTCATAATGATTGATATTTTGAGACATTTGTCTCCATTGTTCTCTAGTATTCACTGCATTGTCTATAATGACATAAAGAACATAAAGGTACTCATCCACAGCTCCGTATCGCGCTCAGATTCCGTTGTGGACGCGTACCTTTAGAAGTACTGGATATTATGGGTATTCGTATTGTTTTGATTGATATGTCTTGTCATTATTCTCTAGTATTTACTAAACTGCCTAAAATCGCCACATAAAAACACATGAAGGTACTCATCCACAGCTTCGTATCGCACAGAGTCCGTTGTGTGGGCGAGTACCTTTAGAAGTATTGGATATTATGGGTTTCCGTATGGCTTTGAATGATATTTGTGTTTTCATTAGTCTCTCGTATTCTTGCTCTCATTCTTGCCTAGTATTTAATAAACTGCCGGTACCGTTTAACACTCGGATTTCCTTGTGTGGACGCGTACCTTTAGAAGTTTTGGATAATATGGGTTTTCGTATGGTCTTGAATGATATTTTTGTATTCGTTATCGTCTAATGTTTACTACACTGCTATATAAAGAACATAAAGGTACTCATCCACATCTACGTATCGCACGCGTATTGACTATTATGAATTTTCATAGCTTTTGATTGATTGGTTTTTGTTGTCCGCAGGGTAAATTCATTAGAATAAACTTCGACGCTTCAGGATACATAGCCGGGGCGAATATCGAAACGTACCTTCTAGAAAAATCTCGTGCCATCAGACAAGCGAAATACGAAAGGACCTTCCACATATTCTATCAACTTTTAGCTGGGGCGTCAGAAGCTCAAAGAAGTAAGTTTTTTTTTCTAAAATTTGTTTTCGTAAAGCTATGTGTGACGATTAACGGATATTTTAATAAGGCGATAGGAAAACATAAAACGTCAAACAACGAACAACGAGGAAGTTTCATATTTTTTGAAACATTTACTTTGACAGGACTCGCACAAATTTATGTTTTTTGCTTCTTGTTCTTGTTTGTTTTTCCTTTAGATAGAATCACCTGCTTTATGTATGTTTTATGTTTTTGTTAGTTTGATCTTTTCTTAGGATTGTCTTGTAAATGGTTGTGCAATAAACGCTAATTTATTTAAAAAGGGGTCGCCAACACCAAAAAAAAAAAAAACAGTTTAGAAATTCATTGCTGAAAAGAAGCCGGTACTTACTTTATATGAAACGGTCCAATACTTCAACTATATACGAAGTTGAGTCATTTATTTTAACAGTGAGTAGATCTGATCAAAAGAAATGTTTTTTTCCTTTACCATTTTTCTGGTAAAATTAAAGTAACAAAGTTATAGCCCTTTGGAAGTTTGAGTACCGCCCTGTCTCAATAATAATATTATGTGCTCGTGTTTGGCGACAACGAATATAATTCGCCTTATCGGTTCATCGCATCGGAAATAAAAAAGCGAAAGAATTTGGAACGATGTTTTTACAATTATTTCATTCAGTTGTATACAGTCAGTGTCAGTCGGTAGTGGATAGTGGTGTCTGTTGCGTGGGTCAAACTAAACAAAAAATGGCACATGTTTATGCGGATCGGTTTCCCAATCGAGTGCAACCAACCCCTCGTGCCTTTGTTAATGTAGTACAACGGGTTCGTGAATCATTTGACTTAAGACCTCACATATGGACGGCATGCCGGTGCTCCAAGACCTCACGATCAAATACAGGTCCGCACTGAAATACTTGTCGGGATGATACTTTATAAAACAAGCTAATTTTATTTTTTTATTTTTACACACATATTTTGGTTTATCTTCCTTCTACAATCATTATCTGAAAATTAATGACTCGACCCTGTATATAAATGGATTGTTGTCGTGCCTGTATGGGTCGCCCACGCACCAATTATACAATGTTCTAATGTTGCACAATAAAAAATATCGTTAGCTTGGATTTTAATTAAAAAATCGCCATTTTGGGACACGTTACGTTATTAGGAGCATTTGCTGAGAGTAATTGAGGTGATTTCGTTGTTTTGTCGGCATTATAATATACGTTGCCATTTCAAGACCAATCGAGTCATGTGAAATATTGTGATTTATTTGTATAATAATTGGTCTTTATTCGTCACAGCATTACAAAATAATAGACTTAATAGTAAAAAAAATCGTGACGAAAAGGTCACAGCTTATGCTGTTCATCAACCCGACCTAAAGAAATAAGTCAAGAAAAACATTTTTGAACAACAAATTTAAAGACAGTCACGCACCTCATTTCACATGAAACTATGCAGGTCCTTAACCATAACTTTATTATGTAATACTTATATAATAAATACTACTATCTAGTATAATTCACACATATTATTTTATTTATATATTTTTGATGAGAATTTATTCATTTTTTGGTAAGAGAATAGCTATTAGCTAAACTTCCTCCTAAATAAAGATGATACTATTATTTAATATGACTACCAATACCACTATAATGGTCACAAAAAACGACAAACAAAAGTTAATTTGATTATAGACATTGCCAGTTATCTAAAACAATTCATTACCCTTTTTTGCGTCAAAAGTACTTCATGCATAACACTCAGTATTTTATGATCCATGATAAAGCATTTCACGAAAAAAACTAATCCGATTTATGATTTATATCTGTGTGTCGTTATACATTGTATAAATGCAATGTGTTTCTGCATTGAATGCTCAGTTGTTTCTCATGCACGTGTCAAATTCATTTTGTGGTATTGTCAGTTCATAACGAGAGCCGCATAGTTTCAAGAGAAAATTTGCGGTTAAATATCATAAACGTGGTTGGATTAAATGAGTTCATCATTATTTTTTTTTCATATTTAGAGCACGAACATTGCTGCGTTGTAATTTTTATTACGATGATTATTCAAAATTGCATACGACAGATTTTTTTTATAAAATGTTCACATTATATCGAGAACTTTTGTCAGCGTATCTATATTTCAATTCGTCGGTGCATGCAAGAAAATGCCTTGAGCAGGAAGAAAGATGTAGGGAGAAGAAATCAGAAAATAATTACACACTGCTGCGTTTATACAAATGTCTGGTCCTGCTCTAGAAGCTTCGAGTCGTAATCGAGATCAGTTCCCGATGTTCTAGTCATGCAGCTCCGCTGGTCGCCGATAGATGGCGTCTGTCAGCGACAGCGCGGTAGGCAACACGTAATGCATCCCGGTTGCCGTTGGATAGTTCTTGTTTCCGCTAACAGATGGCGCCGCGTTATTTTCTAAAGCTTTGTTCACTATTAATGCAAGTAGTTTTTCGGAAATCGTCAGGTCGAAGTAACCTCATAATCGTTCAAAAAATGAGGACACTTGTAGTACGTTATACGAGCGCTGTCTCTGGCCCAACTATCAAAACTACGTTTTTTTATGAAATTTAAATACTAAAATGTATTTCTGATAACATACGATATTTTTATTTAAAATACTAAATTTTTTTGTGACAAAAAATATCCTACAAATTCCAAATATAATTATCAATTATTAAAGATCAACGAAACCAAATAGCAGCAGATCACCACTGCGTTACATCAAATTTTCGACTGATTACTGTTTCGATACGTCTTGACATAGTGACAACTAATGTTTGGCGGTCATCTGGTGTGAAAATTTCTTGGCGACGGGTTCACAATTCTGGAACGGTTCTAACGAGATTCGATCGAAGCTTCATGATATGCCACAAGGTTTCAGTAGGCGATAGATCTGGAATACTCGACGTCCATTTTAAAACTGAAATACTGTTTTCTCATATAAAATATTTTTTTTAATTGTTGACAAGTTCATTGAACGTCAAAAATCAGCTTCTTAGCAACGTAAAATGTTATCATTTATTTTGCAAGGTCTACCGTTATTTTATCTAGCGAATATACAGGGTGACTTCGAAGTTTATTTTAACAGTGACTAGATCTGATCAAAATAAATGTTTTTTCCTTTACCATTTTTTCTGGTAAAATTAAAGTAACAAAGTTATAGCCCTTTGGAAGTTTGAGTACCGCCCTGTCTCAATAATAATATTATGTGCTCGTGTTTGGTGCTACTGTTATCATTGTAATTGCAGCTCCTGATGATGATGGCAAAGTCCATTGAAAGCTAGAGAGAATTAAAAAAGTATAAAGAGTCCTCTTTGCTTAAATTTTGTCGAAGTACCCAACAAAAGGCGGAAGCTTTAATTTTTCACCTAACTGGTCTAGACGACAATGACCACGTCTCAAGTCAAAAAAAAAAATATATATATATATGTATATATATATATCTAAATAATTATTTCTCCATTTATCCTAACTGTGATAGTATTTTCATTCAGGTATTTCCCTATTAGCATACATTTTGTTTTAGAAGTATTCAATTTTAGTTTATTTACATTTAACCAATTTACGTTTTTTGCCAAGTCAAAATTAAGCATGTGTCTATATTTTCATCTGATATGTATATGAATGTATCATCCGCAAATATCTGAAGTTTACAATAATCTAAAATCTTACAAATGTCATTAATGTATAAAATAAATAGTAGTGGGCCTAGTTTACTACCTTGTGGTATACCAACAGAAATATTTTTTGATCTTGATAATGTAGATCCAATTTTGGTTTTTTGACTTCCGTCAATTAAATAATTTTGTAGAATTTTGAATACAGATCCTTTAAATCCGTAGTGATGCGATTTTGTAAGTCAATAGTTTCAAACGCCCTTTTGAAGTCCAAAAACTAAATTATTATTGATTTAAAATTTCGCGATTTTTTTCTTCAGAGGAATTCATCCTTGAGGACCCGCGTTCGTACAGTTTCCTCCGCGAGGACAATCACATAGTGCCCGGCGTCGACGACGCCCAAGAGTTCCAGAACACGGTGAAGAGCATGCACATCATGGGCATGACGAACGAGGACTTCAGCGCCATCTTCAGGGTGGTCTCGGCGGTGATGCTGTTCGGAAAGATGGAGTTCAAACAGGTGAGAAAGCTGGTATACAAATCAAAGTGAAGACAAGACCTTGAACAGTATTTTGAGGTTAGTTCGTTTCAAGGCGACTGCAACCTTAGTTCTCACGCGATAACTGACGAACTTTTCGGTTTCGCAGACTGCACTAGAACATTTTTCTTCCGCAGGATAGAAATTCCGACCAAGCTACCCTCCCGGACAACACGGTCGCTCAGAAGATAGCCCACCTTTTGGGTCTGTCGGTCACCGACATGACCAGGGCGTTCTTGAAACCCAGGATTAAAGTAGGCAGGGATTTCGTCACGAAAAGTCAGACGAAAGAGCAGGTTGAGTTTGCCGTCGAGGCGGTTTCGAAGGCTTGTTACGAAAGGATGTTCAAATGGCTGGTTACCAGGATAAATAGGTGAGTGTTGAAAGGTTTGAAGATCACCTGATTCTCGGATTTTAAATAGGTTCTTAGATATTTTTTGTAAACGATATACTTTGAGGCAATGTATTTTGCTTTGATAAAAGCACAGCCGACGTCAACTACGAGCCGTGAACAAAGAAATCTGGCAACGTAGGTGGTAGTGTTACTCCCGCCGCTGCTTGCTGCATCGACGCAACTCGTGCTCAAAACGCTGAGAAAACATAACCTTTTCAATTTGTGATTTTGGAATCCCAGAGGCTGTAATTAAGAGATAAGCTTGTTTTCTAAGCTTCAAAGTGTGTGTGTATGTGTTCAAAGTGATCGGTGACTATAATATATGAGAAATAGACTCCAGTTGTAGTGCTTCTGTGCTTTAAAAATAAACTAAGAAGTGTGACTGTGGCTGTTCGCGCCTCAGGACGCTAAGCATTTCAACTATTGAAAACGTGCAAATTCAGGTTGTATTTTTCTTTTTTCATTTATCAAGTATTTGACGCAGACAATATGCCTCGTTGTTGCTGTGTTCCTTTATGCAATGCAAACTATAATTCTGCTTTGAAAACAGAAAGCTATGTTTCAACTTTTCGCTTTCCAAGTACCGAAAGTCTGAAAAAAATGGCTTATGGCAATTCCCAGAAAAAATTGGACACCTTCAAAATATTCAGCTGTGTGCAGTCGTCATTTTAGAGAATCGGATATCATCAGGACAGAAAACATAGTTTTGGCGGATGGAACAGTCCAAAATAATATCCAAAATTGAAAGAAAATGCTGTTCCCTCCATTTTCCCAAACTTTCCATCATATCTTTCAAAAACTGAAGCACCCAAAAGAACTGACCCAATGCAAAGAAAACAAAAATTAATTGAGAAACATGAAAAAGCTATCCAGAATTTCGATGATATGGATAAGATCAAAGACTTTCAAGAATTACATTCTTCATTTTCAAAAATTAAAGCCTCACAGAAATGGAATAATAAATTATCTGATGGAAAGCTATATTTTTATAAATTGGATTTTGAAAATGATATCTTAACTTTGAATACACAGATTATAGTTGATGGTCAGATGGAAGTTCGGGTTGTTCATAAAGGATGTAAGCTTTCTTTTAGTGACTTGAAGTGGGTTTTGCCATATGATCTCAAAATTACCAGTTGGTCCCAATTAGAAAACCTGCTAAATAGGTATTTTTTCTATTTTTCTGAGAACCAACATAAAAACTCTGTCGAAGTTTGCATCATGAATGCTTTTTAACAACTTGACACAGCGATTTCCATAATTAATAATGACTCGGTTATGTTTCCATATACAAAAAATGTAGAGATTATTGCTGATCAGCTGAGACAAATTCAAAACAGGAAAAACAGATATGCATCACTTTCAATAATAATGGCTTTCACGTTTTATAAATTAAAACAAGGTTCCAAAACTGCTTGGAAACTCAAGAAAATTTTGATTTCTTGGATACCAAACAAAATCCTGAAGTTTTGGATATATTCAATGAAGTATTTGAGACAAATTACTTAGCCAATTGTGACATAGAGGATAGTACTAAGACTTATTTATCTGGATATGCTTCACACGCTATCTCTAAAAACCTAAACTGCGAGATATGCAAATCGCTAATAGTTAAAGAAAAAGGTTCATTAACAACAAATTTTTATTTTGATCATTTCCAAAGAGGAGGACTGTCAATTCCAACCAGTTATGTACCAATCATATTCTACCATATGTATGCCATTTTTGAATCTATTATTAATGTAGATAGATTGGAAATTTTCTTCTTGAAAAGCAATAATCAAAAATTTATTTTGTGTCAGTTAACCTTGCTCAGCATTCAGGCTGACTTTATATACAGTGAATTTTCTTTAACTTGCATCTGTGGCCGCAGATATTTTATCTAAGCTTTTGTCTATTTTTTCAAACATAATTTTGAATGATTATGTAAAATTGAAAAATAACAGTAAAACTGAAAGTAAATGTATTAAAAACAAACAGGTAACTCCACATTTCCAAGCTGGGCCTGGTGGAACACAGTGGGCTGACACAAAAAAACGTAAACTAAATACTTTTAATTAGGTTAACTGCATTAGCGACTCATATATATCACGATTATTTCGTATTTTTTAATTTTTTAGAGCTTTTTCATATTCAGACGATTTGTATCGAATCGAACTGTCCTCTTTTCCAAAATTAAATTTAGTTCTTTCATCACGGCTCGTAGTTGACGTCGGCTGTGATAAAAGTCAACTCAGGATGCACTTATTCAGTTAACAACCAAAATGTGCAGCATGCCTTTTTGTAGACTTCTCAGCTAAAGCATTCGATTACGCATCAAAAATTATCAAACACCTTGAACTTTTTAGGATTTCATATACACTAAGTGGAAATATGGCAGTCAGATGCGGAGTTCCACAAGGAACCGTATTAGGACCCATCCTGTTTAATTTGTGTATTAATGACATTTTTATGTGATAAAACGATCGGAAATTTTTGGTTTCGCAGACGACACGGCGCTTATTTATTCAGACAAAGATTGGGATTGTTTAGAAGACAAAATTTTATTGGGTTTTTTAAAGGTTACACATTTTAAGGATTTCAACAGTCAACAAATTTCTTGCGAGAACAGATCACAACAACAAATTTTATCTGAATAACTTCAAAAACATAAAATCAGTTGATAATTTCAAATATTTACGGGTATTCATAGATAACCATCTACGATGGAATATACACGTTGAAAATTTAATAAGGAAATTAAGATATCTTATTCCGTGTCAGCGGCTTTTGAGCCCAAAATATCATGCTTTTGTTCAATCATTACTAGCTTATGAAATCGAATCTTCGCATGGGAAGAGTCATGAATAATTGTTATAAAAACTTAAAATTACGCTTAAGTGGATTTTGAAGGTTATGTTGAACAAAAAGAAATGTTATCCTACAGAAAATCTTTACGGCGAATCTTAGCTTTTTGACTGCCAGCATAGATGATCTTATCACAGAACAATATATACTAAGTGACATATAAATCCGAACACCCAGTTTAAATGGTTTTATTTTAATAAAAGTTGGTGAATGTATTTATCTTACTGTAAATAACAAGTGAAATTTTTTTTTTATACTGCTTTTTTTTAATTCACCAACGCTCTAAAAATGAATATTTCAGCCGCAGTAAAGAATCAACGTTGGCGGATTTTGGTTCTTGACATCCTTTACGATCGGTTACGATGCCAAGAGTACGGAGACCTGTACGATTTCGTCAACTTGGTGATTGATAGGGGCCGTATAGTGGGACTTCGGGAAGCTGGACTTTCTTTTCGGGCAATTGCAGTTAGAGTGCAAAGAAGTGTAGACACTGTGGTTAGGTGTTGTCAGGCATGGCTTCGAGAAGGCCGTACGCAAAGAGCAAGGAGCACTGGACGCCGCCGTAGAACAACAGACCGTGAAGATCGCCGCTTAAGATTATTTGCCTTAAGGGACCGTTTCTCCACTACCAGGTCCATTGCAAATGAACGGTTTGCAGAACACGGAAGACCTATTGGCATGCGAAGTGTTTACCGACGAATGAGAAGTTTTGGCTTGTTTTCATACCGGCCACACTGGGTCCTCCCTTTAACTCGAGAACACCGACGTAATCGCCTTGAGTAGTGCAGACAACGGTCACTCTGGGATCAGGAATTAGTGACGAGTCTCGATTTTGCTTAGGCATGCACGATGGTCGTGCCAGGGTTAGAAGGCGACGTGGTGAAAGAAGGAATCCACAGTTTTTTGTTGAAAGACATGTTCATCACACTGTTGGAGTTATGGTTTGGGGTGCTATAGCATATGGTTCCAGGTCGCCTTTAATCTTTATCAGAGGTAACATGAACGCGCAGCGTTATATCCACGAAGTTCTAGAACCCCATCTTTTACCCTGGCAGATCCAACTTTCCAACAAGATAATGCCCGACCACATGTTACAAGAGTCACAATAGACTTCTTTCAACATAATGATGTCACATTGTTACCATGGCCACCAAGATCTCCCGACTTGTCCCCAATTGAGCACGTGTTTAATATGATGGGTAGGAGATTGCTCAATTTGCAACGTCCTCCTCAGACTCTAGAGGCACTTCGAGAGGGGTTGGTGGTTGCCTGGAATGAGATGCCTAGGCGCGTTGGAGAATGCGTAGCACATCAGGGTGCATCCACACATTATTAAAGGTCGAAGGGCTTTAAAGCAGTGCAATCATTTTGAAATTTTTACTTATTATGCTTCATTAAGTACTTATACAAAATTTTATTAAAATAAAACCATTTAAACTGGGTGTTCGGATTTATATGTCACTTAGTATATTTAACAAAAAAATCGAAATTGTTTAAGGAAACATCTGCACTTATCCCCAGATTTAAAAAAAACTATCAGCCACAGACCATCCTACTTTCTAGACTCTTAAGTTTTGTAATTCTATTCCTACAAAATTTAAACGTATAACATATGAAAGACGTCTAAAAATTGAAAGTTATAAAAAAATGCAATTTTATACGTTTGATAGTATACATAGGAAATTCCAAGCATTTTTTAGGTGTTTTATGTTTATTGAATACTGACGTCATTATTTATACGAAAACTTCGTAGTTCGACCAATAAACATTACTATTAGTAAGACATGGAGATTAATCGGAAGGTTTATCGAAAAAATTGATAATCGTTATACGTTTGTGTTGTTATTTAAGCTTCCTGGTCAGGAATGACAAACTGTCCCTTATATGTCGTTCACTTTCATTGCTAGACGGACCATGGATACAATAAAAAAGACTGGAACAGGGTCAGTACCAAAATGCATGCTGTGTGACGTAGATAGGTAGGATCCATAAATACTAGTGAATTTTCTCTAAACACTCTTAGGTTTTATTAGCTCATACGATCCATTCTACCATTCTTGCGACCTTCCTTGAAAGGTTTATCGTCACCCAAAAACGCAAACTTGTCGTTGTAAGACCCCGACATTTTGCCTTTTAGTTTCTTCATCTTCAACAACACTTGATCCCCAAAACGTCACTCTTTAGAAGCGATAATGTACGAATTGAATTCATTGAAGGAAACAAAATTTTGGAAAAAAAAATCAAGCTGTATTTAGAAAAAAATATTCTAATGAAACAGCAATCCAAATGGTGGTGGAATGCTGGAGAAGTATAGATGAGAAATAATCTACTGCAAACAGTATATTTAGGTATTTTTAGATTTAAAGGATCAGTGTTAAACAATTTACAAACTTATTTAGTAAAAAAAAGCCAAAAAATTTGAAATATTTTGTCGTGCTCTAAATATATTAGTAGGGGTGCCACAGGGAACTGAACTAGGACCGTTACTATTTATTATATATATAAATGATATCTCTGACGTTTTAAAACGCTGCAAAACTCAAAAATTCGCGGATGATACATTAATATGTAACACAACATTTAGACACTTATTTGGGATGGTTAAATAGTGTTATTAAAAATATATGGATAGGTTAAATAATAATGAACTTGAATTAAACACTTACATACAATTCGGCTCATGATTAATGATAAAAAAATTGAATTAGTTAGTGTGAAACATTATATATTTGGGTAAATGTGTAGATAGTAAACTATTTTGTATTCCAAAAACATTGTATATAACGCCATAATTCGTCCCCATTTTTTTATATTGTATCTATTTTGTTTACAGCAAATAAAAAAATATTTTCAAAATTGCGAATTCTACAAACTAAAGCTATGAGAATCATTTTAGATAAAGACAAATACGCTAAGATTATTAAGACTACTGCAGTGGCTGAATGTGATTCATATTTAAATTAAAAAATCATTTATTACCACCACATTTAAGAAAACTTCACAAAATTAAATAGATATTACGAAACTAGAGGCAGTATATATTTTCATCTGCAAAATTGTAATAGCATAACTAGCAAATATGTATTTCAAAAGTGAATATTTGAATTTAATAATAATACAGCAGACGCTCGATAATGTAAACTTATTCAATCCAAGTGTGGTTCACATTATCGAAATGTTTACATTAGCGCACGTGATTTATATAATATTTGATTTATTAAAAGAAACGTTTAATACATACTATTTATAACAAAATAAACAAATATGCTAACAGCGATAAGTATTTTTTTAATTAGAAGAAAAATAATTAACAATTTTAAAATACCGAACCTTATTGAATATTTAAAATCGATAATTTTTAAAATTCTGTTAATTCCGATAATTTCGAAAATTTTAGAAATCACTGAAGTTTTGAAAATTTTGGCATCTTTGGAAACTAGTCAACTGTCCGTCTCTGAAAATTTTTAAACCTTTTTAAATTTGATGATTTTTTAAATTTTCTGAAAATTTGGAAAATTTTTGAGAATCACAATGATATCTAAAATTTGGAAATTGTGGAATCATTTTCAAAAGAAACGTTTAATACATACTATTTATAACAAAATAAACAAATATTCTAACAGCGATAAGTATTTTTTTAATTAGAAGAAAAATAATTAACAATTTTAAAATACCGAACCTTATTGAATATTTAAAATCGATAATTTTTAAAATTCTGATAATTCCGATAATTTCGAAAATTTTAGAAATCACTGAAGTTTTGAAAATTTTGGCATCTTTGGAAACTAGTCAACTGTCCGTCTCTGAAAATTTTTAAATCTTTTTAAATTCGATGATTTTTTAAATTTTCTGAAAATTTGGAAAATTTTTTAGAATTACAATGATATCTAAAATTTTTAATACATTTAATACATACTATTTATAACAAAATAAACAGATCGCGTTTCAATGAATTCTGCATGAGATTTACCTTATCTCTGCTCTCGAAGAGTGTCAGTTCAGTATGATTAGAGTAACACATCTCACTGATTTCACCTGTCCATAAATTCACCTCCTTTCCTTTCTTTGAATGTTCGTCAAAGACAAGATGCAGGGTTGACTTTGCCACAGGCCAAACTTTCATCTTTTGATTTTCTCTCTAACCATTAATTTCTGGCAGATCGCTGGGCAGGACGAAGAGACAAGGAGCCAGCTTCATAGGCATCCTCGATATCGCCGGTTTCGAAATATTCGACTTGAACTCGTTCGAACAACTGTGCATCAACTACACCAACGAGAAACTTCAGCAGCTGTTCAATCACACGATGTTCATTTTGGAGCAGGAGGAATACCAACGGGAAGGCATCGAGTGGAAGTTTATCGATTTTGGGCTTGATTTGCAGCCCACCATCGATCTCATAGACAAACCTATGGGTGAGAATCTTTTGTTTTTAATACAGTGGAGTTTGAAAAATATTTAGTTCAAGTGACCCAAGAAATGCTGCCTATGGTCACTATGAATCTTTTGAAAGTTTTAAAAAACTGTTTTCTAGTTAGTCTCGTGACTTCCATTATAATTCTGTGCTTTAAAGATGCAAATTTGTATTTATCCAAAATCACTTTTTTATACATATTGTTACTGTTTTTGTTTTTTCCAGGTATTATGGCGTTGCTTGACGAAGAGTGCCTCTTCCCGAAGGCCACAGACAAGACCTTTGTTGACAAATTGGTGACAGCTCACACGACCCATCCCAAATTCAAGAAGAGCGACTTTAGGGGCGTTGCCGACTTTTCAATCATCCACTATGCTGGAAAAGTGGATTATTGCGCCAATCAGTGGCTGATGAAGAACATGGATCCTCAGAACGAGAACGTCGTTTCGTTGCTTCAAGGTTAGTAGTGGTGGTTTTTTTATCGTTTAGTTATTTCAATGTTTAATGAAAGTGAACTTCTACAAACGTATTTGATGAAATTTTGACACAAGGTGCCGATATGCCAAGGTAGAAAAAGATTTTTATTTTTTTAAAATCGACGAGCTACGGGCAGAACCTGAAAAAACCGCACTAAACTCCCTCAAAACTAGTAAAGATGTATCCTCGTTCTAAAAGCCTACACGTCAATCTAGTGAGTTGCTGCTGAAACTGAAAATTTGAAAGTTTTGAACACCGAGAGCTTTGAAATCTGAAAATTTAGAATTCTTTTAAAATGTTGATAATTTCGATAATCCTGAAAATATCGTGAATATTGAACGTTTTTGAAAAATGTTTTCATCAAAATTTTGAAAACTCGAATAAATTTGAGCATTTTGATAACTGATACATTTGAAATTTTTTGTTATACCGATAATTTCGAAAATTTTGAAAATACCGAACGTTATCGATAATTTTAAAACCGATAATTTTGAAAATTCTGATGATCCCGATTAGTTCGAAAATTTCAAAACTTTTGGAAATTTTTTTAAATCTTTGGAAACTGATAAATTGCCAAATTCTAAAAATTTTAAAATCTTTAAATTTTAATGAAAATGACAATTAATTAATGACAATTTTTTAGAATTTTGAAAACTTGAAATATTTAAATTTAAATCTTGGAATCAATTTAATTAATTTTTAAAATTTTGAAGATTTTAGAAAATTTTGACAACTGATATTTTTGAAAATTTTGATAATACCGATAATTTCGAAAATTTTGGAAATTACTGAAGTTTTGGAAATGTTGGGACGTTATTGAAAATATGTAAAACCGATAATTTTGAAAATTCTGATTATTCCAATGATTTCGAAAATTTTGTACATTTCTAAAGTTTTGGAAATTTGAAAATCTTTGGAAACTGATAAATTGTCAAAATCTGATAATTTTGGAAGCATGAGATATTTAAATTTAAATCTTGGAATCAATTTAAAAATCCTGATAATTTTTAAAAATTTGAAGTTTTAGAAAATTTTGAAATCTGATTTTAAAAATTTTGGTAATACCGATATTTTCGAAAATTTTGGAAATTACCGAAGTTTTGGAGATTTTGGCATCTTTGGAAAGTAGTAAATTGTTAGTATCTGAAAATTTTTAAATGTTTTTAAATTTGATAATTTTTGAAATTTCATGAAAATTTGGAAAATTTCTGAAAATTTTAAGAATTTCAATTATCTGAAAATTTTGAAATTGTGGAATTATTTTCAAAACTTTTGGAAATTTTTTTAAATCTTTGGAAACTGATAAATTGCCAAAATCTAAAAATTTGAAATCTTTAAATTTTAATGAAAATATTGAAAATTTTTTAGAATTGTAAAAACTTGAAATATTTAAATGTAAATCTTGGAATCACTTTAATTAATTTTTAAAATTTTGAAGATTTTAGAAAACTTTTGAAAACTGATATTTTTGAAAATTTTGGTAATACCGATAATTTCGAAAATTTTGGAAATTACTGAAGTTTTGGAAATTTTGGAACGTTATTGAAAATATGTAAAACCGATAATTTTGAAAATTCTGATTATTCCGATTATTTCGAAAATTTTGTACATTTCTAAAGTTTTGGAAATTTTCAAATCTTTGGAAACTGATAAATTGTCAAAATGTGATAATTTTGGATGCATGAGATATTTAAATTTAAATCTTGGAATCAATTTAAAAATCCTGATAATTTTTAAAAATTTGAAGTTTTAGAAAATTTTGAAATCTGATTTTGAAAATTTTGGTAATACCGATAATTTCGAAAGTTTTGGAAATTACTGAAGTTTTGGAAATTTTGGCATCTTTGGAAAGTAGTAAATTGTTAGTATCTGAAAATTTTGAAATGTTTTTAAATTTGATAATTTTTGAAATTTCATGAATATTTGGAAAATTTCTAAAATTTTGAGAATTTCAAGTATATTGAAAATTTTGAAAGATGATTTTAAAAATTTTGGTGATACCGATAAGTTCGAGAATTTTGAAAATACCGAACCTTATTGAAAATGTTTAAAATCGATAATTTTGAAAATTCTGATAATTTCGAAAATTTTAGAAATCACCGAAGTTTTGAAAATTTTGGCATCTTTGGAAACTAGTCAACTGTCAGTCTCTGAAAGTTTTTAAATCTTTTTAAATTTGATAATTTTTTAAATTTTCTGAAAATTTGGAAAATTTTCTGAAAATTTTGAAAAATTTTGGGAATTACAATGATATCTAAAATTTGGAAATTGTGGAATCATTTTCAAAATCTTGATAAATTCGTTGATGAAATTTTTTGAAAAATTTGAAAATATGATAATTTTAAAAATTTTGGCGTTAGTGATAAGTTCGAAAATTTTGAAAATACCGAACCTTATTGAAAATATTTAAAACCAATAATTCAGAAAATTCTGATGATTCCGATAATTTCGAAAAATTTGGAAATTACCAAAGTTTTGGAAATTTTGGCATCTTTTAAAATTAGTGAATTGTCAATATCTGAAAATTTTGATTTTTTTTAAATTCCAATGAGAAACTAATTTTCTTACTTCTAATTCATGTAAAATTTTTTGAATTGAGGTCTTTGAGATCTTCAAGGACGCCTCAATCTCGCGATATGTCACATGTCTATCTTCAAGATGAGTTTGCGCACAGCATCGACGTTTTCCTGGGTGACTGCCGTCTTTGGTGCACCCACCCTGGGATCGTCGCTAAGACTCACCCGTCCACGTTTGAATTCTCCATACCAACGGGAAATTGTCGACTGATGTGGCGCTTCGTTGCCGAAAACGGACAGTAACTCAGCAAGGCATTCTTGTTGCGATAATTGTCTCTGAAAGTTGCAATAAATTATGGCGTGAAAATGTTCTCGGTTGTGTTCCATTTTTCTAATGACTTAAAAATTCACCGTAGAGAGAACATTGCACGTGTTGTTGTGAAACTTTGAATTTAAGTTTACTAAAGAGTGAGGTTAAGATTCAGTACTGACGTTCGATCCGCGCGGCCACTATGTTTCTATATGCAAAACTTAAAAGACCTCCCTCGTAGCAGTACATAACAATGAACTCGGAATACTATCCCAATTGGGTATCTTCAGGTACTGATTAACGTACTCCAGTAATTTCTAACACAACATACTCTTTCGGGAAATGCGGCATCAATCTACTATACGTTTTTTCCAGGTTCCGCTGACCCATTCGTGGTCCACATCTGGAAAGACGCCGAGAGTCTGGGTCGTGCCAAAGGCATGTTCCGCACCGTTTCGTACCTATACAAAGAACAGCTGGCCAATCTGATGGTAACACTTCGCAATACGAACCCCAACTTTGTCCGCTGCATCATCCCCAATCACGAGAAGAAAGCAGGCAAGATCGACGCTCCTTTGGTGCTGGACCAACTGAGGTGTAATGGCGTCCTCGAGGGCATCAGGATTTGCAGGCAAGGCTTCCCGAACAGGATACCGTTCCAGGAATTCAGGCAACGCTACGAGTTGCTCACGCCCAACGTTATCAACAAAGGATTCATGGATGGTGAGTGCGAAAATGAACGATTTTTAAGGGATTGTCATTAATTTTATATTATTAAAACCATTTACCTACAGGTAAGAAGGCGTGCGAAGCGATGATCAAAAGTCTGGAGCTGGACAAAAACCTGTTCCGCATCGGTCAGTCCAAGATATTCTTCAGAGCCGGTGTGTTGGCTCACCTTGAGGAGGAGAGAGACTACAAAATCACAGATCTCATAGTTAACTTCCAGGCGTTCTGCAGAGGATTCCTCTCTCGAAGGTAAGGATCTTTTTCCCACATACTTGTATGGCCAATAAAACGTATATTGTGTGATTTGATAGAATCTTCTTTAGTGTAATTACAAATGAGATCTTCTTCAGTACAATGACAATATATTCAATATAGACTTGTCTAGCCACTTCCCTAGTTGTTTTTTCTACAAGATTCGATACTCCTTACTCATTTTGCACAATGCGGGTTTCTCCAGGTCTCCCACTGAGCACACCTGATCATTCCTGCAAAACCACCTGTATCTCTAGCTCTTTCCACAATGTTAACAAATCTACACGACCCTGAATGATATCGTCTAGGAGAGCGATCTGTATACCTCGCGAAACCTCGGTAGCATTTCGAAGACGCTCACCATAAATTAAAACCATGTCGACAAGTACAGGGTATTGCTGTACGAGTGTGCCATTTTGGTTAATATCTTAAGACTTTGGTGTATATGCTACCAGCAAAACCCTTCCTTCCTTATCCGCAGGAACTACCAGAAACGCGTGCAGCAACTGAACGCGATTCGCATCATCCAGAGGAACTGCTCTGCGTACCTCAAGTTGAGGAACTGGCAATGGTGGAGACTATACACCAAAGTTAAGCCGTTGCTGGAGGTTACCAAACAGGAGGAGAAACTCATGCAGAAAGAAGACGAATTGAAACAGGTAAGAAGGGATTATCTTAACAAATACTTCGCGTTTCCTCTGTCCCTACAGATGCTGCACCTTGATGGTGGGGATACTGACTCGGTTATTATTTTCTGGCTCGTTTCTAGGTGAAAGACAAGCTGGATCACCACATAAAGTCCGCGCAAGAGTACGAAAAGAAATACCAGCAAGCCCAAGAAGAGAAGATGGTCCTGCAGGAGCAGCTCCAAGCGGAAGTCGAACTGTGCGCCGAAGCGGAAGAAATGCGCGCCAGGCTCACGGCTCGGAAACAAGAACTGGAGGAGATCCTCCACGACCTCGAAGCCAGGATAGAGGAAGAGGAAGAAAGAGCTAATACTATGGCTAACGATAAGAAGAAACTGCAGCTCACCATTCAAGATTTGGAAGAGCAGTTGGAGGAAGAAGAAGCTGCCAGGCAAAAACTGCAACTGGAGAAGGTCCAGTGTGATAATAAGTTGAAGAAGCTCGAAGAGGACTTGGCTCTAAGCGATGATACCAATCAGAAGCTGCTCAAAGAGAAGAAGGTGCTTGAGGAAAGAGCTAACGATCTGAGTCAGGCTCTGGCTGAAGAGGAAGAGAAGGCGAAGCATTTGGCTAAGCTGAAGGCAAAGCACGAGTCCACGATCGCTGAATTGGAGGAGAGGTTGCTCAAAGATCATCAGCAGAGACAAGAGACTGATAGGTGAGTCAAATATGTTTTTTTACGACGTATGTTTGTAAGCTTGTAACGAAATCTTTCAAGCTAGTTTTTACCAATTTTAAGAAGTCGGATTAACTTGAAAATTTGCATAGGGGTCAAGGCCGATGACTATACGATTTCTTGAAAAAAAATTGAATTTGAAAATAAAAAAAATTAATTTTGACATCTGGAAAAAAATCGGTTGCGAAAATTTGTAAAATGATTTTAGGAATAGGAAATTTAAAAAATCGAAATTTTGATAAAAATAATAAAAAAACTGAATTTCAAGAGAAATTTTGAATTGAAAATTGAGAATATTGAAAACAATGAATTTTGAATTTGAAAAAACCAAAATGGAAATTTTGATGAAAATTATAAGTATATTGTTGCCGTTTTGAAACAAAAAATTTGGAAAATAAATCATACTTTAAAAAACACGACTTAATAGCAATCAGCAAATTCAAGAAGTTTGATTAACCTTAAAAATTGCAGACAATACCTTAATTTTGAAAAAAATCGGATTTGAAAGTTGAAAAAAAATGAATTTTAAAATTAAAAAAAATCGGTTTCGATAATTTGAGGATCAAGAAATAAAAAAAAATTGGAAAACTTTGAAAAAATTAGGAGATTCTGAGATTGATGAAATTTTGAATAAAATTATAAGTACGTATGTTGTTGTTTTGAAAATTTTTTAAAAATTTGAATTTTGAAATTTGAAAAACTTTGGTTTCGGAAATATAGAAAATAATTGGAAAATTCGGAAATTTTGAAAGTAATTTGAAGATTAGGAAGTTTGGATATTTTGAAATTTGGAAAGAAATTTGGATTTGAAAATAAGTGAGTTTGAAAATTGAAAAAAATAAGAATTTTGACATCTGGAAAAAATCGGTTTCGAAAATTTGTAAAATGATTTTAGCAATAGGAAATTTAAAAAATCGAAATTTTGAAAAAATAATAAAAGAAACTGAATTTTAAGAGAAATTTTGAATTGAAAATTGAGAATATTGAATACAATGAATTTTGAATTTGAAAAAACGAAAATGGGAAATTTGAAGAAAATTATAAGTATATTGTTGCCGTTTTGAAACAAAAAATTTGGAAAATAAATCATACTTTAAAAAACACGACTTAATAGCAATCACCAAATTCAATCAGTTTGATTAATCCTAAAAATTGCAGACAATACCTTAATTTTGAAAAAAATCGGATTTGAAAGTTTAAAAAAAAAGAATTTTAAAATTAAAAAATTAAAAATTGGAAATTTTGAAATTTGGATTTACAAATTGTGGAAAAAATTGAGAATATTAAAAAAAATTGATTTCAAATCAGAAAAAAAAAGGAAATTTTGAAGAAAATTATAAGTACGTGTTGTTTTGAAAATTTTTAAAAAAATTGAAATTTGAAAAACTTTGGTTTCGGAAATATAGAAAATAATTGGAAAATTCGGAAATTTGGAAAGTAATTTGAAGATTAGAGGGTTTGGAAATTTTGAAATTTGGATTTGAAAATAATTAGGAAAAAATTTTGGGAATCAAAAAAAAAAAAAGAATTTTAAGCTTAAAAAAAGTACGTTTGTTGTCGTTTTTTGGAATTTGGAAAATAAAAGTTCAAAAAACACAGTAGCAATCACTAATTTGAAGATGTTTGATTAAGTCAAGTAAATTTTTTTTAAAAATTGAATTTGTAAAATAATTGGAAAATCGTGAATTTGGAGAATAAGATGGGATATTTTGAAATTTGGGAATTTTGAAATAAATAGCCTAAAATTTAAAAAATTCGGAAATTTGGAAACCAATTTGGATTTGAAAATTGGGAAGAAAATTTGATAATATTGAAAAAAATGAATTATAAATTTGGAAAAAAATTCGTAGTTTTGAAAAAAACACGATTTTGAAAATTAAAAAAAGAATTGCAAAAAATTGGTTTCGAAAATTGGAAAATGTAAAATTTGGAAAGTAATCTGAGGATCTGAAATTTTGAAAAAGTTTCGAAATTGAAAAAATTTAAAATTTCGAAGTTCGGATTTAAAAATTGGTAAACAATTGTGAATTTTAAAAAAATGAATTTTATGTTGTTGGGGAAAAAATTATAAGTACGTTGTCGCTTTGAAACTAAAAATTCAGAAAGTAAATTATTTTAAAAAACCCGCAACTAAAAACAGAAAATGATTTTAAAAAAATAATTATAGTAAAAAAACTATATTTTCATAACTCCAATTTTGTGAATAGCAACTAAAAAACTATTAATGTCAAGCACTCGACGCTTTTTCTAATATAATTGAATTTTTTGAAAATCATTTTCTACTTTCTAGTTCGTTTTGCGATTACTGCGTGTTTTTTTTTAGGTTTTAAAGATTAATTTATTCAAATATGATTCACACTTCCAAAAAAAACTAGTAGATTCAGACACAACTTGCAGGGTCTGGAAGGACCTGAAAGACACTATAACACTTACATTTCATTCCACTCAGGCATCGCTAAAAGTTCTATACTGTATTCTTGTATATTAATTTTTGAAGTGACTATTCTTTTTCTGTTGCAGGTCTAAACGAAAAGTCGAAACTGAGGTAAACGACCTGAAAGAACAGCTCAACGAAAAGAGGATGCAAATCGAAGAGTTGCAGTTGCAACTGGGCAAGAGAGAAGAAGAACTGGCTCAAGCTATGGTCAAAGTGGACGAAGAAAGTGCTCAAAAGGCTCAATCCCAAAAGGCGCTCAGAGAATTGGAGAGCCAGCTGACCGAACTGCAGGAGGATCTGGAAGCGGAAAAAGCTGCCAGGTATACACAAGTTTTTATCGTAAATGGTAATGGCGTAAAGCATATTCATCTATCTATTGCCGCTATACTGAATAATAACTTCTAACTAATCGTACATTGCAGGAGTAAAGCCGAGAAGATGAAGCGCGACCTGAACGAAGAACTCGAAGCCCTGAAGAACGAACTTTTGGACTCGTTGGACACAACAGCGGCGCAACAAGAGCTGCGCTCCAAACGGGAACAAGAACTCGCCACGTTGAAGAAAACTCTGGAGGAAGAGACGCAAGTGCACGAAGTCGTGCAGGCCGATATGAGGCACAAGCATACCCAAGAGCTGACGGCCGTCAACGAACAGCTGGAGAACCTGAAGAAGCTGAAAGCGACGTTGGAGAAGACCAAGCAGACTTTGGAGGCTGAGAATGCCGATTTGGCGACGGAGTTGAGGAATATCAACGCGAGCAGGCAGGAAGGTAAGATGATCTTTCATCTCGTCGTTTTCAACTAATTCGTGTTTAATTTATGCATAGCGGAAGGCATGTAAGGGTCTGATTGTTGTTTTTTCGTGTTGAATTGTATTCCAGAGTCAAAAAAAGGAAACTGTACCTGAATTTAGAAATCAACTTTTAAAAGAAGTTAGATATAGAATGATTTATTTAGCACCTTTCCCTACATAAACAGAATAATTATAAACAACGTAGAATTAGTAAATTCAAGCCATAGATTCAACAAGTGATTCCTCAGTTTTGTCTAAAAATTTGTAAAGAATTCTGGTCTTTTATCTCCTTATTTAATTTATTAACCATCATCAACCCTTGATGGAATACAGATTTGTTTATTTCTGGTATTAGGTAAACGATGTTCGGCATTTGATGACGTTAATTTAGACACGGTAATACACTATGTTTTACTTTAGAAATAAATATCATTACAAGATATTTGAATTTTTTTTCACATTGATCCATTTTAATTTGCTGATCATTTATTTAAATGTTTTGTAAAATTTGTATTTGAAAATTGGGAAGATTTTGGTAATATTGAAAAAAATCAACTTTCAAGTTTTAAAAAAATCCAATTTGAAAATAAAAAAAAATGAATTTTGACGTTTGGAAAAAAATTCGGTTACGATAATTAGAAAATAATTGGAAATTTGGAAAATAATTTGGGGATCTGGAATTTTTTCAAAAGTTTAATTTCGAAATCGATAAAATTTGAAAATTTTGATATTTGGTAAAAAATTGTGAATTCAAAAAATGAATTTTAAATTTCTGAAAAAAAAAAACGAAAATTTTGAAGAAAATATTTGAAAATGGGGAACAATTTTTGGTAATATTGATAAAATCAACTTTCAATTTGGAAAAAATTTGGAAGTTTCGAAAAAAAATCGAATTTGAAAATAAAAAAAAAATTGAATTTTGACGTTTGGAAAAAATTCGGTTACGATAATTAGAAAATAATTGGAAATTTGGAAAATAATTTGGGGATCTGGAATTTTTTAAAAAGTTTAATTTCGAAATCGATAAAATTTGAAAATTTTTAAAAATTTTGGAAATTTTGATATTTGGTAAAAAATTGTGAATTTAAAAAATGAATTTTAAATTTCTGAAAAAAAAAACGAAAATTTTGAAGAAACTATTTGAAAATGGGGAATATTTTTTGGTAATATTGAAAAAATCAACTTTCAATTTGGATAAAATTTGGAAGTATCGAAAAAAAAAAATGAATTTGAAAATAAAAAAAATTGAATTATGACATTTGGAAAAAAATTCGGTTACGATAATTAGAAAATAATTGGAAATTTGGAAAGTAATTTCTGGATCTGGAATTTTTTAAAAAGTTTAATTTCGAAATCGATAAAATTTGAAAATTTTTAAAAATTTTGGAAATTTTGATATTTGGTAAAGAATTGTGAATTTAAAAAATGAATTTTAAATTTCTGAAAAAAAACGAAAATTTTGAAGAAAATATTTGAAAATGGGGAACAATTTTTGGTAATATTGAAAAAAATCAACTTTCAATTTGGAAAAAATTTGGAAGTTTCGAAAAAAAATCGAATTTGAAAATAAAAAAAAAATTGAATTTTGACGTTTGGAAAAAATTCGGTTACGATAATTAGAACATAATTGGAAATTTGGAAAATAATTTGGGGATCTGGAATTTTTTAAAAAGTTTAATTTCGAAATCGATAAAATTTGAAAATTTTTAAAAATTTTGGAAATTTTGATATTTGGTAAAAAATATTTGAAAATGGGGAACAATTTTTGGTAATATTGAAAAAAATCAACTTTCAATTTGGAAAAAAATTGGAAGTTTTGAAAGAAAATCGAATTTGAAAATAAAAAAAAAATGAATTTTGACGTTTGGAAAACAATTCGTTTTCGACAATTGGCAAATAATTGGAAATTTGGAAAATAATTTGAGCATCTGGAATTTTTTAAAAACTTTAGTTTTCGGAATCGAAAAAATTTGAAAAGTTTTTAAAATTTTGGAAATTTTGAAAATTAGTAATAAATTGTGAATTTAAAAAATGAATTTCAAATTTAGGAAAGAAACGGAAATTTTGAAGAAAATTATAAGTTCGTTGTCGCTTTGAAACTGTATATTCAGAAAATAAATTATAGTTTAAAAAACATGCAATTAAAAACAGAAAATGATTTAAAAAATATAGTGATACAATAACATTCTCATAAAACTTCAATTTTGTAAATAGCATTTAATAAAATTATTCAATGTCAAGCACCCCCACGTTTATGTAATATTATTAATTTTTTTTAAAATCATTCCTCAAAGCGTATTTTTTTGATTTTTTCAAGTATAATTTATTCATATTTATATCTCTGTATTTAATTTATTATTTTCAATCAACTCTTGCTGGAATAGTAGGAATAGTAGAATATATTAATTTTTGGACATTAAATGGAAAATTTAATTGAGAGTCAACAAAAACCGCAAGGTATTTAAAATTTTCTATGTCAATATTTAGTTTAACATTTGTACATTTTTTCGTTTTACTTGTATTGAATTTGAGTTTGTTAGATGCTAACCATTTTGAAACAAGTTTCAAGTCTTTATTTATATAATAGCTACCAGTCTGTATATTATTCCGAGTACCTACTTATATGAATCAAACGGCGAAAATTTCAATTTTGCATTTTTTGACCATGGCAGGTAAATCGTTTATTATAAAAGAAAAAAAATTGGTCACAGGATACTGTCCTGCGGAACACCTAACGTATTTTCAATTTTTGATGAAATAGTGTCCTCTCATAGATGCTTCTAGGATCATCAATGGTATTTTAAGTGGGTTTCTTCAGGTGGAATACGTTAATCAATGCCCGAAAGTGCCCAATTAAAATAGGGAACAGAAAGGTACCAAAAAAGGATTGATGATCGCAACGCCATCTATGAAACAATAGCAGATCCAATCACTGCTTTTCCAAAGTTTCTTTCTTCTTCCAGATCCCTTTTTGGACGAATAAATAAGCAAATCAAAAGAATTTTTTTGTATTTTTGCAGGCAAAACTAACATCTACTTTTTTAATAGTCTTTGGATTTTATTTTTTTGCCTTTGAGTAAACGTTAATTACTTCCGTTGTTTGATTTCTTAAATACACTGGATGGTTGCCAGTTTCTTTGTCTTGAAATTTGAATAATCTGCAGCACTTTGAACTATATAGAAAACAGTCTTTTTTCTCAGATCCTAGATCACTTCTAATTGACTCTTCAATATTTCATCTTCAGTTTTTTTTTGTTAGTTTTATATTCGAAATTTTAAGGTATGCATTTTTCGCAGGCGAAAGACGCAGGAAGCAAGCCGAAAGTCAGCTCGCAGAACTTTCCGCCAAATTAGCAGAAGTAGACAGATCAAGGGCAGAATTGCAGGAGAAGACGATCAAGCTTCAACAGGAGGTCGAGAACGCTGCTCAACAATTGGAACAAGCCGAACTCAAGTGAGTTTTGTTTTATATCAAAATTATTCCAAATATCGAATTAATGTCTCCCTCTGTCCATCTTGCTTTCCTTTGCTCTTTTTATTTATTTATGGCAACTGTACAGCATGTTGCAATAAATTTTGATTTGATTATCTATAAGACAAATAATAATAAAGCGTTTATTATTATATTTCTGTAGTCTATGGATATGAGTGTCAGTTTTTAACTATAAGAGCGATGTCATCCTGGAATCTTAATTTTTCTTCTTGCTTGTTTCTCAGAGCCTCTACAGCAATGAAGAACCAAGCCACGATAGAGTCTCAATTCGCTGAAGCTCAAGCGGCGTTAGAGGAGGAGACCAAGCAAAAGCTGTCTCTAAGCTCAAAATTGAGGCAATTGGAGTCGGAGAAGGAGACGCTCCAGGAACAGATAGAAGAGGAGGAAGAAGCTAAGAAGAACCTTGAGAAACAGGTAATGTGTTAGTTCAAAAATGTATTTCCATTCTGTTTTCATAAACCAAAAAATCGATTTTTTAGGAAGATAGATGAAAGTGCTTTATTAATCATTCTTAATGACAAAACTAACATTAAGCTAGAATACATAAGTGGTTCTTAAGAAGGCAAGTTGTGGAGCTCACTCAAGGTATAATGTGGTTTGAGGAGAAATTATTCAAAATATACCAGCAATTTGATAATCTGCAAAGTTTAAAAAATGCGTTCGGTGAAGGGTATATCGGATTAATCAGAAGACTTTGGTCTTTCGTTTTGCAAAAAAAAATATCGTGACTATCTCGAAGGTGTGTATCGAATAAGACAAAGGTAAGTTTGAAAGCCTAAAAGTATGCTTTTTCGAAATGTGTCGGAAATTCTAACAGTCAGGCTCGTTTCTTACGCTCAAAATGTTCATTTTTCAATCGCTGTATAATTTTTATCATGCATATGCAATAGGCCAGGTTAAAGCCGGAAACATGGTGACTCTGTCATTTATCGAAAAGTACGCGAGGAATTTTGAAAAATCGGAACTTTTCAACGGAAACGAATAAAGAGATAAAAATACTTTTATCTTGCAGTCCGGAGTATGGGCATTCTTATGCAAAAGTCGCCAGGTCCGTATCTCAGTTATCTTCGGAGAAGATAGATCGTGGACAGCGAAAAGCGCGCTTTATACGCAAATACGTCACTTGTCAAGTTCGTTTATTCGAAACGGGTGTCCTAAACGAAAAAAACTCTCTCTAGATAATTTATAGTACTCGTCGAGATGAACAAAATATGCCCGGCGAAATTCCTTTTCTCGGTGGCATACAGGAGATATCGAAGTTTTTACGGAAGTTCGCCATTTTTTCGCTTTTTCTATGAAAACTGCTAGAAAAAAAACTAAGTTGCGAATACAAAAAAGTGCCGGCCTATACGGAACGCTCATCATTCAGCTGTCAAACGAGACCGATGTTGTGTCGATATTTTTATAAACGGCGAAACTTTAGTTAAAAAAGTCTTCGTACTTCGCGAAAATCTACCATTTTTTCGACTTTGACCGCCGTTTTAGATCGCGTTTCTTCCTCTTACCTCGACAGTTCTTACGGTATCGTTTTTACTAATTGAAGATCTTCTTTTCGTCTAATATCATAAACTTATATTTAATGTTTCATATTCAGATTTACTTTCAAAAATAAGAGTTGCTGTGTCCACAAAAAATCAATGATACGGCAGTCATTATTTTAAAGATTGCTTTTAGTTACATATTATATAATTAATTTTTGTTAAATAAGCACTATTTTAAACAATTTTGGGAAGAGACACAATAGAAATGCTGTATTTCAATTTTGTTTAAAAAAAATGTAAAGTAACTATTTTTTTCTTATAATAACGGAAGTGTTTGCTAATGAGTAAGCAATTTGTCCTCATGATTAGTGAAATCTAATTTATGGTCAATGATCAGACCTTAATTTTTATGGCGTCTGTTTTGTGTATCAATTCATTATTTAAATTTATGAATAGAGTCAGGTAAGTTTTCATAGCCGAATTGGAATTATAATCACAAAAATATTCCTAAATGTCGTCTTAAGGTGGCAAGTCATTTTTTAGATTCTTTTTTCAACTACGTGTTTGCAGCACTATTCTAAATCCTTTTCATCTGATAATTCCATGGTGTCTATAGAGATGACTAAAAAACAATGTTTTCATTTTTTTGGCAAAAAATTAATTTTTGTGCATTGTTTATTCAATCGGAGTTTGTTAACAAATATAATTACAGCTCTGAAATTGTGTGTGAACATTCCTCTTTTATGGAAGAATGAAACAAGCGATTACTTTTGTTCTTGTCACTGTTTCGTTTCGAAAAATCTTTGATTTTTCAAAGAGAAGAAGTGGTAAGAATAAAAGTAATCACTTGTTACATTCAAAAAAATAAGACTTGAACAACGCTTAAGAGACTGTGACACTTTGGATGTGCATCTATTCTAAGCCGAATGGGTATTTTTCGGATATACCCCGTAGAAATATCCAGACCAGAGCAAGACTTTTTCTGCATAATACTGTTTTTGTTTGAATAATATATTAGCGAAGGAATATCATTATTTTTTGTTCTGCACAGTTCTACTGCTTTTCGCGCTTGAATGCATTTGTCGGATCTTCAGAAGAATTAATTGAATTTAAAATATTTCTTACACTCGGCTGTGTATCTCAACACTTTCTGTTCGCTAGACTTCACAATACGTTCAATTTGAAATAATACACCGTCTTTGCAGAATACGCGGTTAGATATGTAATTTAAAATTGCTATTTTTTTTTTAATTCTATCGCATTTCGCGAGGTCTGTGTGATGCTTGTTATACACGGCTCAAAGAATGACCTTCGAGTGTTTTTAAATTGCTGTCATAGTGAATCTCTTCGTAATATAAATAGTATCAGTCGAAGTGATTTTAAACCATGTTTTCCACACGTGACACCCAGGATTCAAGGGATATGCGAGATTTATTTGAAGGTATGAACTTGTTTAGTTGGACTTCTGATGTAGGGAAACACAATTTTATCGGAGCTTCTTTAACTATAATCATCGTTGTTGAAGGGACATAAATTTGTACTTTTAGTAGCGTTTGTATAATAACATTTATACCTATATTCAATCGTTGTGAAGCCATTTGAGTTTATAATAAAATTCGACTAACTTAATTTGATATTGAAGCAAGAACATTCAGCATCAGTCAGTGTCATCGTATGTCATAGAAAATCTTTGCCTTTCGTTTCAAATTGTTAAGTCACCTACCCAGTTGTGATAAATATTGAACAATGACTTATCCAATTCAAGAAAGGATTGTATTTTTATTTTACTCTACTACCACTACTATACCAAAAACACTATTTAGCTTATTACCTATATAGGGTGACTTTGAAGTTGAGTCATTAATTTTCAGATAATGATCGTAGAAGGAAGATAAACCAAAATATGTGTGTAAAAATAAAAAAAAATAAAAAAATGTTACCTTGTTTTATAAAGTATCCTCCCGACAAGTATTTCAGTGCGGACCTGTATTTGATCGTGCGGTCTTGGAGCACCGGCATGCCGTCCATATGTGAGGTCTTAAGTCAAACGATTCACGAACCCGTTGTACTACATTAACAAAGGCACGAGGGGTTGGTTGCACTCGATTGGGAAACCCCCCCCCAAGTTCAGCATTTTCGTAAACATGTGCCATTTTTTATTTCTTTGAGACACGCAACAGACACCACTATTCACTCACGCGTTACCGACTGACACTGACTGTATACAACTGAATAAAATAGTTGTAAAAACATCGTTCCAAATTCTTTCGCTTTTTTGTTTCCGATGCGATTAACCGATAAGGCGGATTATATCCGTTGTCGCCAAACACGAGCACATAATATTATTATTGAGACAGGGCGGTACTCAAACTTCTAAAGGTCTATAACTTTGTTAATTTAATTTTACCAGAAAAATGTTAAAGGAAAAAAACATTTCTTTTGATCAGATCTACTCGCTGTTAAAATAAATGACTCAACTTCGAATCTAGTCATAATGAACTTGTATATCTTGTAGTTGTTGCCATGAATAATTTATTTTATTAAAAAAAAAACAGATGGAGGGTGATTTTATAAATTTTGTGATCTTACTTGGTTTCGTTTTGAGCAAAAGTTTATAATGTTTTTCCTCAACAGATGGCGGCGATGACCGCCCAGCTGGCCGAAGCGAAGAAAAAGGCCGAAGACGAAGCAGAACAGGCCGCCATATTGGAAGAGAGCAAGAAGAAACTCGCCAAGGATTTGGAAGCGCTGCAGAGGCAAGTTGAAGACTTGACAGCCGCCAACGATAAGCTGGAGAGGAGCAAGAAGAAGATCGCCGCCGAACTCGAGGTACGTGAGAAAGCAGAATTTTGACATTGAAGGTGTTTAACTTCATCACTGTTTTCCTTTCCCAGGACGCGAACATCGATCTGGAGACTCAACGCCAGAAAGTCTCCGAGCTGGAAAAGAAACAGAAGAACTTCGACAAGATCCTCGCCGAAGAAAAGGCAGTTAGCGAACAGCTCGGCACCGAAAAGGAAGCGGCCGAAAAGGAAGCCAGGGACAAGGAAACTCTCGTCCTGTCTCTGAAACGCGAACTGGACGATTCCAACGTGAAAATCGAAGAGTTGGAGAGGGTCAGGAGACAGTTGCAATCGGAGTTGGACGAGTTGGTGAATAACCAGGGTACCGCGGATAAGAATGTGCACGAGCTAGAAAAGGCGAAGAGATCGTTGGAGAGCCAACTTGCAGAGCTGAAGGCTCAGAATGAAGAGCTGGAAGACGAGCTGCAGCTGACCGAGGACGCCAAGTTGAGGCTGGAGGTTAACATGCAGGCGTTGAGAGCGCAGTTCGAGAGAGATATTCAGGTAAAAAAAAGTTAATTCAAATAATCAATTTTTGTTTCAGGAAATAAATACTCTAGGCGCAGAAAGCTTTCTTGGAAAATGATATATAAATTTCCTGACTGTGAAAATAGTCCACGTACAACCGAAAATTTGCAGTGTTGTCAAATTAAACGATAGTCTAATTTTTTAAATACTGTTTCGATATGTTTAAATGTAGACGGCGATCCAAAAACACGAAACAACGTAGAAACATGGATTGTAAATATTTCCGTGTATTTTTTACTACTAATTTTGGCGCCTACAAAATCAACTATAAAACCTCTCAAATTCCGTTATACAATAAAAAAAGTATTTGCTTATTTCTTGAAAAGTAAAAGAAGGCTAGGTTTCAGCGAACTTTTTTATTGGTAGTTTGTCCGTAAACGCATATTAAAACAAGAAAGATTGATATTCAAATCAAGTTGGGTACTTTATTTTGAAGGTTCATTTGTACCATTTATGTATGAAAAATAATATCGCTCAAATGTTCGCCACGACTGAATTTACAGACGTCCACGCGACGGTCGAAATTTTCAATGACACTTTGCAACATGGTCGGTTCTATGGCATTTATCGCGGCAATGATGTTGTTTTTAAGTTCTTGGAGGGTGGCTGGTTTGTTGACGTAGACTTTGCTTTTCAAATATCCCCATACAAAGAAGTCCAAGGGAGTCAAATCGCACGATCACCGAAGAAGGACTGCAATTGAAGGATATTGACGTTGGTTGTGTGGCATGTTGCACCGTCTTGTTGGAAATAAACATCGCCCATATCCATTCCTTCAAGTTGCGGCAAAAAATAGTCCTCTATCATCACGTGCTTTCGCTCAGGATTGACGGTAACGGCGTCCCCGGCCGCATTTTCGAAAAAGTAAGGTCCGATGATGCCTTTTGACCACAATGCACACCACACAGTCACTTTTTGAGGAAGCATCGGCTGCTCTTGATATTTTCGTTCGCCCAGATGCGGCAGTTTTGCTTGTTTACCGTCCCATTCAAAGTGAAATGTGCTTCGTCGCTGAACATGATTTTTGATGAAAAATTGGCATCAATTTGGCGGTGTTCAAGGAGCCAATCTGAGAACGTTCGGCGCGAAAAATGGTCGGCTCTTGCGTCAATTGGATCTTGTAGGCGTGTACATTCAAATCCTTGTGGAGAATGCGGAGCAAACTGGTTCTCGAAATGCCCAATTCTTGGGATCGACGCGTTGTTGATTGTTTCGGATCGTCTCTCACACTCTCCTTCACAACAGCAATATTTTCCGGTGTGCGAACGCTCCTTGGCCGGCCAGAGCCTGGCAGATTTGCCACAGAAACTGTTGCCTCGAATTTACGCACCAGACGACCGACGGTTGTTTCGTTTGGGCGGTTGTTGCGACCGAAATGTTCGCGAAACGTGTTTTTTATTTTTGCACCATTTTTGTAGTGCTCTTGAATAACTTTAATACGGTCTTCAATCGAATACGACTCCATAGCGATCAATGGTAAACATTCAACTAACAAAATGACATGTCGGTGACAGAAAACAAAGATGGCGTCTATGTCAAATTGACGTTTACTTTCCTGCGTCCCTATTGGACAACCCAATACTAAGACTTTGAGAAACCCCACCCCTTTAAATAAAGCTGAATCATCAAAATTGAGTGAAATGAGCATCTACTTGGATAACTGAGTAGACTGAAAAGAATATGGCTTAAATTATATTTTTATCCTTTTATATTTCAGGCAAAAGAAGAACAAGCCGAAGAAAAACGAAGAGGTATATTGAAGCAACTGCGTGATTTGGAAGCGGAGCTGGACGAAGAAAGGAAACAAAGAGCCGCAGCTGTCAGCGCTAGAAAGAAGCTGGAGGGGGACATAAAGGAATTGGAAAGTCAGACTGAGTTACACATCAAGGTAAATTTTGTTTACAGTTGTTATTCGTCTTTTTTTTTATGAATAAAGGAATTGCTTATTTGTCAACGAATTTGAATAGATCGGAATGAGCCAGTAGCGGACAGAAGTTGGAAACATTCTTAGTAATTTTTAAAAAATGTGTTAATTTTAAATTTGTTATTCTTTATTTTTAAGAACTTTTTTTCTCGTATAGTTTGTTTACAGTCATGAGGATACAAATGACAATTTGTGTTCGCTGTGGTACTACAGACTAGCATTAAAATACCTTCATATTATTTTATGACTTATGACCAAACATATTTAAAAAAAAAAATACTGCTTAGCTACTATTTTGTATGATAGCCTTTAGCATTCATCTGCTCCTCATAGAAGACACCAATTTTTTACAGACGTCTGTTGGGATATTTTACCAAATATTTTTTACATAATCAAATCGTTTCTATTTTGACATTTTTTTGTCAGCTGTCTTTTAACATGCTTCCAGATATGTTCTATAGGGTTTAGGTCCGGGATTGCGAAGGCCATGTAAGAACATTAACATTTTTTAGTCTTAACCAGTCTTTTCCGAACTTTGAGGTATGCTTGGGGTCATTGTCTTGTTTTAATATCCATAGTATTTCAGCAAAAGGGAGCATGTGTTCAATAAGAATATCTTTGTAAAGTTTTACCCAACAATTTTAACAATTGGCCCCGTTCCAGAACTAGAAAAGCAGCCCCAAACCATGATGTTGCCTCCACCGTGCTTAATTGTTGGCACTTTTAACAAATTTGTAACCTATGTTCCTGAGTATTATTTGGAATATCAAAAAAGTAGCAAATGGTATCTTAAGATACTTTGTACTTAGATTTTGCTTACAAGTGTGCTCCAATTTTAGCAGTGTACTCGGTATTTATAAACAAAAACTGGTTTCATTTTAATGCTTTTATTATCCGGTTCATGTTGAAAAAGGTAATAAAAACCATAGAAAAAATAGCACGTGAAAACTGTGTTCCAGTACATCTCAAAGCTTAGAGTTTTTCGGTGCAACATAGATACTTTGTCATGCGTTTTTTTTTTCTTGGGCATAAATGACATACTTTCCTTTTTTCCAAATCATCTTGGCGATGATGCGTTTGTACGGTTTCTATGACTAGAATACGACGAATATTGTCTCTTATTTCCCGAGGCAAATGTTTGTTAGCGGCTCCTCTCTCCATATGTTCTTCTACTAGTTTTTTGGTTAACTGCTTTGCAAATATCGATTTCTCTTGTATTTTGACATCAATATGTAGATATATCTACCATTCGTAGAAATATGGCCATGAGCCATCTACGCGTTCGCCGAATTGTAGAGCTTCTAGCGCATTTCTCGTCCAGCGAATCGACCCCACCTTTGGTAGAATTATAAAATGCGGTAGCCCCTGGTTTATTTGTATCACTAGCAATCCGATGATGCATTGAAGAAATCAAACGTGTTGCTTTTCCTCTACGACTCACATCAGAAGCAATGTCATGTTTTCCCTATATCCATACAATGTACTTCCGACTTCCTTTTTTCTGTTATATGTAATGGGTGATTTTTTTGCTAGTATCTTTTTGGCAACACTGTTTTTGACAGATGACGCGTGAATCGTGTCTTGTGTCATTGTCAAACTTGTTCAGTTTGGTCTATAATTTAACCATGAATCGACTTACGAACGAACAACGCTTGCAAATTATTGAATCTACTATCAAAATTCATGCTCGTTTAAGAGAGTGCATCGAGCACTGCTTCCAATTTATGGGCAATTTGGTTGGCCTACTGAGGGAGCTTGTGACTAAATTTCGAACCCAGTTTACATTATTGGACATTAAACCACCAACACGTAAACGTAGAGTGAGGACTGAAGAAAATATTGCGGCTGTATCCGGCAGTGTTAGTGATGACCTTGAAATGTCGATTCGCCGACGTTCGCAGCAATTGGGCCTCTGTTACTCCACTACGAGGAAAATTTTGCGACAGGATTTGGGTGTAAAACCTTATAAGATACAGCTGGTGCAAGAATTGAAGCCACACGACCTTCCACAACGTTTCCAAGTTGGTGAATGGGCGCTGGCAAAGTTGGAGGAAGATCCACATTTTTATCGAAAAATTGTGTTCAGCGGCGAAGCTCATTTCTGGTTGAATGGGTACGTTAACAAGCAAAATTGCCGCATCTGGAGTGAAGACCAGCCAGAAGCATTGCAAGAGCTACCAATGCATCCCGAAAAAATCACTGTTTGGTGTGGATTATGGGCCTGTGGCATCATCGGGCCGTACTTCTTCAAAGACGACAATGGCCGGAACGTAACTGTGAATGGCGAGCGCTACCGTGCGATGATAACAAACTTTTTTTGCCCAAAATGGAAGAGCTGGACTTGGCTGACATGTGGTTTCAATTGAGAGTCGAGCTCGGTGAACAGTTTATCTCACGTTTGGGCCCGTCAATTGGCCTCCTAGATCGTGTGATTTAACGCCGTTGGACTATTTCTTGTGGGGCCATGTTAAAGGATAACCCAGCAACGATTGACGCACTGGAAGACAATATTGAAGCATTTATTCGTGAGATACCGGCCGATATGTTGGAGAGAGTGTGCCAAAATTGGACCTTGCGCATGGGCCATCTAAAGCGGAGCTGCGGCCAACATTTACATGAAATAATCTTTAAACATTAAATTATATCGACCGTTCTATCGACTCGAATAAAGATTTAATCGTTTTTTCAAATTTTTTGTGTTTTTTTGAAAATCAAATCCTATACATCTTAAAAAATCACCCGTTATATATATAGCTCTACAGGCCTGAAGACCCAAGGCTTTATTTGTAATTTCTTTCCATCTCTTCTTATTTTGACATGAATTTCCAGTGTTGTACACCTAAGCTTCTCAGATCAGCTTCTACTTCGCTCTTCCATCTATCCTTGGATCTCCCTCTCCTCTTCTTGCCTCCTATGCTTCTGCTAACAATCATTTTTGAAATCCTATCTTCTGCCATCCTTTCTACATGCCCTAACGATTTCAACTTTTGTGCTCTTATATATCCTGTGATACTTGATTCTTTATACATATCTGCAAGGTCTTGGTTTGTCCTTCTTTCCCATACCCCATTGTTCTGTTTCCCTCCAAAAATTTTCCTTAATACCGTTCTTTCCCACACTTCTAGGGTATTTATATCTGCCTTCCTCGATTTTGCTTGATTCGTGATTTTGGCAGGTGAACATTATGCAATGGCTTTCTCGGTCATCGGACGTTCTTCGCTTGGTTTCAGGTGAAAGAAGACGCGCTGAAACAGCTGAAAAAGTCGCAGCAACAGTGCAAAGAGGCGGTCAGAGAAGCGGAGGAATGCCGGGCGTCCAGAGACGAATTGGCGGCGGGATGTAAAGAGGCGGAAAGGAAAGCGAAGGCTATGGAAGCGGAAGTACTTCAACTGGCCGAAGAGGTGGCGGCTGCCGAAAGGGCCAGAAGGGCCGCCGAAGCGGAGAGAGACGAATTGTTAGAGGAGGTCAATAGCAGTAATAGCAAAGGTGAGTCTTTATTATTGTACTTTGCAACGTATTTTATACATAACTTTAAGATGCGATAGAACTTTTAAAATTAATGCATAAAGTCCATATAAACATGGGTCGAAAAATGCGTGGCTTCCGAAATACAGGGTGTTTAAATTTACGTTTTAAAATAGTTTTTTTTTGAATATTTCGAACAATATTTGATGTATAACAGTGAAACTTATTATACGAGGGTTTTTTTGGTACCACAAAACGAACCATGGGCATATTTTTACTGTAGCCGCTAGAGGGCAATTTTTTGCTTTTTGAATAAAAAAACTGATTCTTCGCACTTTTCAACATAAAAAAGCTCTCCTGTGAGTTTTCGTTATAGTTAACCGTGTTTGAGATATTTCGATTTTTAAGGGTCGATGCATTTTTAATTATTTATGGGAAAATAATATTTTTTTTCTATTTTCTATTTGGGCATTACAAGTAAATAAGATGATCGTTTAGATTGTGTTTTTAAACACAGCAATAATTCCTAACTCCAAATAAACACAAAAAAACAGAATATTAATTTGTTTAATTTTCCAATATTATTTTTAACAAATTAATTTAATTTTTTACAACTAAAATGCTATTGGATAGTTAGGACAAAACTGAAACACCCTGTCATCGGCGAAAATCTGAATTTTGCATTTTTTGACTATGGGAGGTAAATCATTTATCTATAAAATAAAAAGAAGTGGTAGCAGGATACTGCCCTGTGGAACACCCAGCATATTTCCAATTTTTGATAAAATATTGTCATTAACTTTTGTAGCTTGCATCCTTTTAGACGAATAATTTCTAAACCAATCTAAAACACTTCCTGATATACCATACGCCTTCAATTTACCTAACAAAATGTCTCTATCAATCGTTTCAAATGCCCTCTTCAAATCCATAAAAACTGCTATGACAACTTCTTCTATCTTATTTATCTTCTATCTAATTTAAAGATTGTTAATTCCAATTTGATCCAAATTTATTCTTATAATCATTTAAAATTATATTTTATATTAACGATGTTATAATTAATTCTTAACAACATACAACTATTTATAATCAAAATAATCATATTTTAACTCATCAATATGACTCCTTTACTTTTAATTACAGCCTGGCAAATGATGGGTAAATGCGCAACTCATTTTTTAAAGTGGATGGTCTTATTTTTGGCCAGTCGTCTTGTAATATTTTCCATAAGTGTTCTTGAGATGTAGGACATTTCCGTACTCCAGCTCGATCGGATTCAAATCCGGTGATTAGGGAGGCTATTGCATTGTTCTTCTTTTGCTTCCAAAAATTGTTTACTATTTTAAATGGTGTTGAACGGTAGTGTACTTCTGTATGACAATCATTTTGTTCACTACCTATCGAACTGAACACTAAACCTAGCAATAGCAGTTATTTTGAAAAAAAAAGGATCTTTAGCGATAAAATTGCTTTTCTGATCACTCCCACTTTTAAGATCATCTAATCCATAAATCGAATTTGGGGAGCTAATTATGGCGAATAATTTTGCAGGTAGTCTCCTAATCGATGAAAAACGGCGGTTAGAAGCACGCATCGCCACATTAGAAGAAGAAATTGAGGAAGAACAAAGCACCAATGAACTGCTGCAAGATAGAGCAAGGAAAGCACAGCTCGCTGCTGAGCAGGTAATCTATAACGTTTTTCGAATAGGGCATTTCTTTTCTTTCAAGGAAACGAAACAGTATTTTTTTCTTTAACGAAGTACCAACGAGGCTTTTCATCAACGTCCTGTGGACTAATATTTAAAACCATATTCAAGGAGAAAAGAAACTTTAGTAACGTTTCAGCAGCCACTACCTCGGACTACTTCGTGACAAGACAGCCAAAACGTCGGTAAAGCTTCTTCTTCCATTAACGTCCTTTTTTTTAGATTTTTTTCCAACTCTGCAGCGGCATTCTGAATCCTTTTCATCTGATAATTTCATGGTGTGTATAGAGATAACTAAAAAACAATGTTTTCATTTTTTCTCAAAAATGATTTTTTTTGCATTTTTTCTGCAATCGGAACTTGTTAGCAAATACAAGTACAGCTCTGAAATTGTGTGTGAATATTCCTCTTTTATGGAAGAATGCAACGAGTGATTACTTTTGTTGTTATCACTTTTCCTTTTCGAAAAATCTCCGATTTTCTTGAAGCCTCGTCTCGCAGCTAGTTGAGTTTTCAAGAAAAGCAAATATTTTTCGAAAAGGAAAAGTGGTAAGAACAAAAGTAATCACTCGTTTCATTCTTGCATAAAAGAGAAATATTCACACACAATTTCAGAGCTGTACTTATATCTGTTAACAAGTTCCGATTGCAGAAAAAATGCACAAAAAATGCATTTTTTGACAAAAAAAAAAGAAAACGACGAACACCATGAAAGTATCAGATTAAAAGTATTTAGAACACTGCTACCAAACAGGAAGTTGAAAATAAATCTAAAAAAGGACGTGCCACCTTAAATATGGATATCATTGTTGCTGAAGAGAAACACTGTAGAGAAATTGCAATTGTTGAAGTTATATTTTGCGTTTTATATTGATTTTTTTTCTTTCCTAGGCTCAGGCAGACCTCGCCGCAGAACGTTCCGCCTTCCAGAAGCAGGAATCTCAACGGTTGCTGCTAGAAAGACAGAACAAGGAACTTAAGGCAAAACTTGCGGAGCTTGAAACAGCGCAACGTACCAAGACCAAGGCAACGATTGCAGCTCTCGAAAGCAAGATTAGCAATTTGGAGGAACAGCTCGAGGTATGCGATTCCAAAGTGATATCAAAACTTGTAAATATCTTTTTCTTCTATTTGAACTGTGAAATAAGTTCGTTCAGGAAAGATTAAAGTCGGTGAATCCAAGGTTTACTCTCGGAAGTCCCAGCGAAGATCAACAGAAAAAAATAAGACAAGGCGTTTCTTTTTATTTTGTTTTTTGTCCGGTTAGGAGAACATTTTCTCGTGTCCGCGTTCGTTCAAGAGAATTTCCGTCCAAGAGAAATTTGTTCGCAATTCGTAATTGATGTGAATAAATTTTATTCCTGTTGGGATTTCTAGTGGATTTAGAATGGCATTTTCTGGGATTTTCATCGATCGTTTCCTTCTCAGGTGGAAGCGAAAGAGCGCCTCGCCGGCCAAAAGACGAACCGAAAACTGGACAAGAAAATAAAAGAACTGCTGATGCAGCTGGAGGACGAACGCAGACACGCAGACCAGTACAAAGAGCAAGTGGAGAAGAGCAACACGAGGGTGAAGACGTTGAAGAGGCAATTGGACGAAGCCGAGGAGGAAATTGCGAGAGAGAAAGCGCAGAAGAGGAAGGCTCAGAGGGAATGCGAGGATATGCTGGAGAGCCACGAGAGCATGACGAGGGAGATCAACAACCTCAAGAGCAAACTCAGGTGAGATGAAGCATCGATTAACTATCCTCCCTGCTAGAACAGTAAAAACGGTTAACAAAGTAACATTACTCCAAAAATTAATAAACTAAATAATGATATAAAGTTTACTTGTAATTTGAAGATACTTGAAACAAAGTTGACGGAATATTTCACGGACAGGAAGGTTTTGGTTTTTCTCGAGCTACGGTTGGACATTTTGAACGAAGTCATACCAAGATGAACTAGACTAAAACTAAATTTCACCACTCCAAATTTTGGCTTGCTAACTTGGCCTGTTCAAAAGTGGCAGGCTGCAGCTTTTGAAAAGCACTGTATGTAAATTATTCTTCACTTTTATTAGTATTTATTTAGGTAAAGATAACAAATGTACGTTAGATAAATTGCTGAATTAAGGACACAACATTTACTTAATAACTGCTTGCTATATTTGGCATTTTAAAGGTTCGTAATTGTATGTCAGAAACGATAAACAAACCAACTGTGATTGAACAATTTTAGTATATTTTCTTCATGCACTTTGATCTCTAAATTTTGGGCTAATTTAGGGCTATGTGCGTCAGGCCCACTTTGGCCACTGTGAATACATGGTTTTACTGTTTTTGGTAGGGTAGATCGTGAAAGTTTCAACTAATTGTTTCAGTAATAGGGTATATTAAATTTATTCCGTGTCACTTTTTAATCTCACCACTTAAATATTTCGAAAACTACGCAGTCCAGAAAAAGCTTGAAAGAGAAGTTTTAGGGTTTTGGGGGTTGAAATTATGGTGACCTTGAGCATGATCTTGACAACGATCTTGAAGCCCATTTCAAGCTCAAATAAACACACACACAGTGTTCAAAGAAGATCCTTCATTTTTATTCCGCAACTGGAAAAAGAAGGAAGTGCTACGTCCGAATGTGACCTTGACCCCAAAGTCAAGGTCATGCAAATCTTAAAATTTTTAAGGCAACCCCTAGGCTCTTATTCTAAAATTGCAGATCAAGGAATTTATGAAACATTTACATTTTTGACATGAACTTGAGGGTCAAGGTCATGGTTAGTTTCACCTTTAGGTGATCACAAGACTCACCACTGTGCTGGCGAACATTTTTGAAACAACAAATATGTTTCAACGATTCGGTTTGATCTTGAAATGGCTTTGAAGGTCATTGTGGTCATAATCAAGGTCATATTAGTATACAGACTTCCCTATTACCAATTTCGGTGAAAAAAGCGAGTTCTATTTGAAAATATTCGCTCGACCCAAAATTCTTTGGTTGCAGATAATAAAACATTTACACTTTTGGCATGACCTTGAGGGTGAAGGTCAAGGTCACATTTGGGTGATCCCCACAAAGCTCGCCTCTGTGCTGGCGACCTGTTTTGCTACAGCAGATATGTTTCAATTACTCGATTTGACTTTGAAATGGCCTTGAAGGTCATTGTGGTCATAATCAAGCTCATGTTAGGATACAGAATTTCCTATTACCAATTTCGGTGAAAAAAAGCGAGTTCTATTTGAAAATATTCGCTCGACCCAAAATTCTTTGGTTGCAGATAATAAAACATTTACACTTTTGGCATGACCTTGAGGGTGATGGTCAAGGTCACATTTGGGTGATCCCCACAAAACTCGCCTCTGTGCTGGCGACCATTTTTGCTACAGCAGATATGTTTCAATGACTCGATTTGACTTTGAAATGGCCTTGAAGGTCATTGTGGTCATATTAGTATGTAAAATTCCCTCTTACCAATTTCGGTGGGAAAATGGACCTCTATTTGAAAATATTCGCTTGACCTCTAAATGACCTTGAAGGTTGTTGTCAAGGTCATAGTTTCGTTTTGTTGCATATAACAAAACGTTAAAATTTTTGACATGACCTTGAGGGTGATGGTCAAGGTGACATTTGTATGTTGCCCACAAAACTCAACATTGTGCTGGCGAACCTTTTTGGCTACAGCAGACATGTTTCAACGGTTCATTTTGACCTTGAAATGGCCTTGAAGGTCATAGTCAAGGTCATATTAGGATGTAAAATTCAATATTTCGAAAACTACGCAGCCCAGAAAAAGCTTGAAAGAGAAGTTTTAGGGTTTTGGGGATTGAAATTATGGTGACCTTGAGCATGATCTTGACAACGATCTTGAAGCCCATTTCAAGCTCAAATAAACACACACACAGTGTTCAAAGAAGATCCTTCATTTTTATTCCGCAACTGGAAAAAGAAGAAGTGCTACGTCCGAATGTGACCTTGACCCCAAAGTCAAGGTCATGCAAATCTTAAAAATTTTAAGGCAACCCCTAGGCTCTTATTCTAAAATTGCAGATGAAGGAATTTATCATGAAACATTTACATTTTTGGCATGACCTTGAGGGTCAAGGTCATGGTTAGGGTCACCTTTGGGTGATCCAAGACTCACCACTGTGCTGGCGAACATTTTTGAAACAACAAATATGTTTCAACGACTCGGTTTGATCTTGAAATGGCCTTGAAGGTCATTGTGGTCATAATCAAGGTCATATTAGGAATTTCGGTGAAAAAAAGCGAGTTCTATTTGAAAATATTCGCTCGACCCAAAATTCTTTGGTTGCAGATAATAAAACATTTACACTTTTGGCATGACCTTGAGGGTGATGGTCAAGGTCACATTTGGGTGATCCCCACAAAACTGGCCTCTGTGCTGGCGACCATTTTTGCTATGTTTCAATGACTCGATTCTACTTTGAAATGGCCTTGAAGGTCATTGGGGTCATAATTAAGGTCATATTAGTATGTAAAATTCCCTCTTACCAATTTCGGTGGGAAAATGGACCTCTATTTGAAAATATTCGCTTGAGTTCTAAATGACCTTGAAAGTTGTTGTCAAGGTCATAGTTTCGTTTTGTTGCATATAAGAAAACGTTAACATTTTTGACATGACCTTGAGGGTGATGGTCAAGGTCAAGGTGACATTTGTTTGTTCCCCACAAAACTCAACATTGTGCTGGCGAACATTTTTGCTACAGCAGACATGTTTCAACGGTTCAGTTTGACCTTGAAATAGGTCATAGTCAAGGTCATATTAGGATGTAAAATTCAATCTAACCAATTTCGGTGCAAAAATATTCGCGTGACCTTTAAATGACCTTGAAACTTGCTGTCATGGTCATGATTTCGTTTGGTTGGGTACAATAAAACGTATAAGTTTTTGACATGACCTTGAGTCACATTTGGGTGATCCACACAAAGCTCACAACTGTTTTGTCGAGTATTTTTTATGTCCAACGTTTCGATTTAACCTTGAAAAGGCCTTAAAGTCAAGTACATATTTGGAGGTCAAATTTACTCTTCCCAATTCCTGTGGAAAAAGGGGGAGTTCTCTTATATCGATATAACCTTGAAAGTCGCTGTCAAGGTCATGGCCAGGGTTACCTACATTTTACCCCTTTCAAACCCTACAACTTTTGTTTGAAACGTTTCCGAAGTATTTAGGCACCCTCCACAGTCATAGAAAGTGTCAAATCGGACTTTCCACAAAGGTTGTTTCGAATCTTGAAACTGTTAATGTCTTGTAAGATATACCCTATTGCTGAATCACAAAAGTTATCGTATTTTAAATATCTGAATAATTATTTTCCAGCCTTAAAATATAGTACTCGGATAGAAATAGAGATTGGTATGTGATTGTTGGTGTACAAACGTGTGCTGCAAAATTCTCAAAAAGCAGATGATTTATGTTCTGGCTGTATAATTGGCTTACTACTTCTAACGCAATTTTGATTGGCTGCTCTTTAAGTATCTGTGATAACTCGGCGTTAAGTATACATTCATTTTACATTTTATACGTTATTTTAATAAATCATATACTTAACCGCTCCTCATTTCGTTTCAATTATTGTAATATCTAAATGAAAAATGGCAATATGCGCGTTTTTTTACAAGACTTACGAAAATTTGTGTGCATTCTCAGTTTTTGGCTTAACGCACACTGACTGCAGAAAAATTGTATAAAAGTCGGACATAAAAACGAATATTTTGTCTACCTTGAACAAGGCTACGAACGTAGAAAATCGTTCTTTTCATTTGTTAAAAGAGTCAATTGAAACTACTGCTTCAATGCTGCTGAATAGTGTTGTCGTTGTTTAAAATTCACACAAAATTTGTTTTGTTCTGTAACCACCACTTGCAAAGTGATTTCGATGGAACGTAATTGAGATGTGCTTTGTTTTTTAAGCGTTTCTCAGTTAACAACAACCCCTGCGTTTACAACAAACGAGCAGATTCAGACTAGTCTGCCAGAAACCATCAGAAAGTTGTGGGGGGTAACGTTCGACATGAAGTAAGTTCACGTTGGAGTTCATATCCCCGATTTGTGCATCTATCCCTCCGTTCTAACCAGCGAAGTTTTTATTTTGATGTTGAACTAACAATTTGAATGGCGTGTTCGTACAGTGCTGACCGAAGTCGCTGTCCCTTTTAGGTCTCCACGTGTACGAGAGAGAGAATCGCGTTAGGAAGAGTGCAGCTTATATGCAGTATATGCCGTTTTACAGACCGCAAGACACTTGCTATTCCGTTTGTTTTTGTCAAATCGGAAACGTTATGTACGCTCCGAGGGTACCGCCTTTGACCCTTTGCCCATTTGCAACGGGGTACCGCAGGGATCAGTACTTGGGCCCCTGCTGTTTATAATATATATCAATGACCTGTCCTCGCGTGTTGATAACGGATCATATATCCTATTTGCAAACGATACCACATTGCTATCTAGACGTGACCAAAACAGTAGCGTGGTTAGTCGCTAAAAGAAAACAATATATATCTGTAAACCACCGGACGGACCGGACCGTATATAATTTCTAATTTATTTAATTTAATTATTAACTATTCAATCAGAATCGCAAACTTGTGTGAAAAATCCAATTCAGCTGCAAGAAAATTAAAGGGATATACACGCTTCTCTCTCTCTCTCTCTCCCTTTCTTTCGTACACATTGGAAATCTAAAAAGAAAAACGATTTTGGCCATCACTGTATATTTTTAGCTATGCTGATTTCGAGAACTTGACTAAAGATTTTTGCAAATAACTGTAAAGTGTGAGGCTTTTAGGTAAGTTGCTACACTGAGGTCTTATAACAAATTGGTAAAAATGCTCCTTTTATCATGAAATTCAGAAAAATATATGTGTAGATATAACATTTAAAAAAGCATCACAGAACGCCAAAGTGGTAGGTATTCCTAGTATTCAAAAGTTGCTAAAATGTAAAGGGAGGCCCAACGAGCAGGTCGCACCCTCTTTTGTGACTCTCTTGGTATGTTTTGGTAAAAATGCTTAATTTTTATTTCTAGCGGACGTCTTTTCATCTATAGGTATAAACTTTCTTATGCAAAAGCTAAAAAAAACTTCAAAAAATTAAAAAAACTAGGGCTTCCATTTAAAAATCTAAACTATAACGCAATATCTTATTTTTGCATCATGGCTATAGATGAAAAGACGTCCCCCTAGAAATCAAAATTGACGTGTCCGAGAGTTTTTCCCAAAACATCACAAATAGGGGTGCGACCTTTTCGTTAGGTCACCCTGTATCCGTATTCTCCTGTAGCGGCGTGTCAGTGACGACATCGCCGCAGACCAGACTAGTACTAAAGATGTTACAATAACAAAGCTCTACCCCTACAAAAAAAATTCCAAAAATTTTAAATGTAAAACGCAAACTTTTAGCGATTTTTATTTTTGTTCGTGTTGCTGCCCTAGCTCCGCCACCACTGGACCGGCACACCTCTTTCATCCTTGGCAAAGTAGCAAGCTTGTGTGAAAATTTCATCAAAATCTGAGCGATACTTCTCAAATTATAAAATTAGCTGTCAAACCGACAGGAAATGTAACATCCAAAATCATAATTTCGAAATTTTTCGCGGTTGCAGTTTTCGCAAAACATTACTAAGTCCTTACTGATTGTTAGTTTTGTCAAACACGATGAATTTGACCATGTTGGATGTATGCCATTTTCAGACGAGGTACCATGGGCATTTCCTCCTCTCGGCTGAGCTCGAGCACCAAACGTGGTTCCGTTCAAACCTCATCGACCACAGGAAGCGGAAACGGAAGTGGAGACGACTCCACCACTCAGGATGAGGCCATGGACGGCGACGACGCTCCGAATTAGAATTCAAATTGGAAACCAACTCAGTCGCTATGCATTTAATAGACCACGATGTACTAGACGCCAGCTTGGAAAACTGCTTTCGAAAATTGAATGTGGGTCACTCTCGAAGCGGCGCTGGACTCACAGAGTGTATCGTGCGTATTTTCTCGCGAAAGAGACTGCGGTGAATTGTTTCTATGGAAATGTCAAAAATTAAACATACTTTTCGATCAATTTTGAGTTTCACATGCAATTTAAGGATATAGAGACAACGTTGACCATATGAATTTGACATTTGGTTTAAAGGTTCAGTAACTTTTCAAGGGTGCAATTGACTATATATTACGTGGTCTGTTTCCAAGATTTTGAAGTTTAAAGCTTAAAATTGTACCCACGAAGAAATTTGAAGCAAAATTTATACATGCAAAAATAAGGATTTTTTCGAGTGGCCCACGTTGTTGCAATTTTATTATGATTCACTACGTACTGCATTTAAACGTTCTCCTTTAAAAGGAAAAGCGTGAAACGGTTGAGTTACTTTTTTTTCATTTTGAAACTTTATATGTTTGGGTCTAAATTACATTTATTGCAGTAAGATTATGTTGTCCTGGTGTTTAAGCGAAAGCTTTGAGGTCTGCTCACAATGTCGTATCGAGCACGTGCACCGAGGATTAAAAAAAATTCTGTGGGAACCGCAAAACAGCCCCTGCATTCAGGCTTCTGCGTGCGAGGCTGCTTTGGTGTGAAAAAAACGTCTCCTGAAAATTGGGGTACCGTTTTTAATGTGTACTCGCTCTAGCATACGTGATTCTATGTCTCTCTGTCTCATATACAGGGTTGGCCATAGTAAAATTCACTTTTGAAAACAATGTAAATAAAAGAGTTTGCTATTTTTTATGATATAAAGGAGGCAATTTATGTTTTGAAAATGATATCAATTTGGTTTCCAGATGTTCGAAACGGCACCTCAAACGTCCCTTTTTTTAGATATCTTTTCAATTTCCTATTTGCAACAGTATTTTGTCAAAAAATGCATTTTTCAATCGGAACTTGTTAACAAATATAAGTACAGCTCTGAAATTGTGTGTGAATATTCCTCTTTTATGCAAGAATGAATCGAGTGATTACTTTTGTTCTTATCACTTTTCCTTTTCAAAAAATCTTTGATTTTCTTGAAGCAAAAAGAGCAAAAGTAATCACTCGTTTCATTCTTGCATAAAATAGGAATATTCACACAGAATTTCAGAGCTGTACTTATATTTGCTAACACGTTCCGATAGCAGAAAAAATGCACAAAGAATGCATTTTTTGACACAAAAAATGAAAACATTGTTTTTTAGCCATCTCTGTACGGGCCATGAAATTATCAGATGAAAAGGATTTAGAAGATTGCTGCAAACAGAAAGTTGAAAAAATCTAAAAAAGTGGACGTACCACCTTAAGCACTAATTGCTATCATATTTTGGATGGAACTTGAGGAAAAGAACCTCATTTCCCATCTTTCACCTCCAAAATGTATCGATCATGTTTACCTACATTTGGAATGCCTCGATCCAAACGCGTATGTCACCATCAAAATCACTCTAAATTATGACACGATTCTAGTACGATACGCTAAAATGAACAGGCCTTAATTTTTTTATACAGGGTGTTTCGAGCTAGAATGAGCATAGTAAATTATACCGAGACCTTTCTTATCTGACACTAAACATTCTACGTTGTTTTTAAGGATAAACAGGGTGTAACTTTTTTATGTTCAGATATGTTTTTCACTGTGCCAATTCGAGTACGAAACACTCTGTATACGTGCTGAAATTTATTTTTGGACTAAATTTAATGTGTGCCTTTGATATAAATTTTGTTGATTTTCGATTGACTGGACGAAGGTGGTAGTAATTTAATTCTTATCGCATCTGAACGACTGGTTTGGTATCTGTATATGAAAAATATGCTTATTTGTATATTTTATATAGTACTTAGAGGACGCCACTGTCCGCATTTAATATATATACACACACTCGCTTTGTTTTGTTATATAACGTTGAGAGCAGCATTTACCTACTTTACTTTTTTATTCTTTATTTTCGCATTTTATTTATATACACACATGAATTTGTAGTACGTTGATTTTCATTTACCCTCGGTACTTTTATTACATTAATTAAGTGATAAACTTATGTATAATTTATTTAGTATCACTTCTTTTTCCTAATCGAGTTCGCCATATGATCGGTCAGATTTTTTTCAAATAAAATTTTTTTGTTGCATTTCTGATCGATGGTTCAGCGGAAATCGTGCTAATCGGGTACATATAACTTTTATACTAAGCAACGCTATTAAAAAATAAAATGAACTAGCTGTAGCTATTAACCTTTTGATACATATTTTGTAGAAATATATATTTTGTAAAAATCAACTATATTTTAGTCTGAAACCGTTTTTGATATGCACGTTTTTGTATTATAAAGACAATTTCCTGCATTTTGTAAATATTCTAATGTGTATCTGGGTTAGGGGTTCATCATACTTAACTGATGAATAAAATTTTATAAAACCCACTTTGCTTGCTTTTTCTATTCCCCATTCCCCGAGCATTGCTTTCGGCGCACAATTCTAGCTGCACAACTTGTCAACTTCCAGGTGGAATTGATTAAATTTACCTAATAAAAGTGATAAAGTAGTTCGTCTACCGGCCGATAGATGGCGCTTCTTTGTAAAGTGCTATCACAGACCTCACAAAATTTAACTAGTCAAAAAGATCCTTTAGGGGTGGTTGGTCGGGGTTCGGGACGGGTGTTATGGCAACGAATGTTCAATGATCAAGGATCTTAAATTTCCGTGAGGGGAGTTAAAATCCCCCCATTTTTTGATTTTATTAGTTTATTATATTCTAATATTACGTGTTAGATTTGGCTTTGTTGAAAAACAAAGCGTCCTCTTCCTTGCTTGCTTTGGGGATTACTGAACGGATTTCAGCAGCTCAAGGTAGTCATTCAAAATGGTGGACCTTATGGTAGCTACCGATATGCAGCGCCATCTATTGGAGAGTAGCCGCCACAAAAAAAAAATCGTTCAGTTGGGCTACCATCCGATAGATGGCGCTTCTTGGTAAAGTGCTATCACAGACCTCACAAAATTTTACTAGTCAAAAAGATCCTTTAGGGGTGGTTGGTCGGGGTTCGGGATGGGTCTATGGCAACGAATGTTCAATGATCAAGGATCTTAAATTTCCGTGATGGGGAGTTAAAATCCCCCCATTTTTTGATTTTATTAGTTTATTATATTCTAATATTACGTATTGGATTTGGCTTTGTTGAAAAACAAAGCGTCCTCCTCCTTGCTTGTATTGGGGATTACTGAACGGATTTCAGCAGCTCGAGGTAGTCATTCAAAATGGTGGACCTTATGGTAGCTACCGATATGCAGCGCCATCTATTGGAGAGTAGCCGCCACAAAAAAAAAATCGTTCAGTTGGGCTACCATCCGATAGATGGCGCTTCTTGGTAAAGTGCTATCACAGACCTCACAAAATTTAACTAGTCAAAAAGATCCTTTAGGGGCGGTTGGTCGGGGTTCGGGACGGGTCTATGGCAACGAATCTTCAATGATCAAGGATCTTAAATTTCCGTGAGGGGGGTTAAAATCCCCCCATTTTTTGATGAAACTATGTTAAAGATTTGTTTATTATATTCTAATATTACGTATTAGATTTGGCTTTGTTGAAAAACAAAGCGTCCTCCTCCTTGCTTGCATTGGGGATTACTGAACGGATTTCAGCAGCTCGAGGTAGTCATTCAAAATGGTGGACCTTATGGTAGCTACCGATATGCAGCGCCATCTATTGGAGAGTAGCCGCCACAAAAAAAAAATCGTTCAGTTGGGCTACCATCCGATAGATGGCGCTTCTTGGTAAAGTGCTATCACAGACCTCACAAAATTTAACTAGTCAAAAAGATCCTTTAGGGGCGGTTGGTCGGGGTTCGGGACGGGTCTATGGCAACGAATCTTCAATGATCAAGGATCTTAAATTTCCGTGAGGGGGGTTAAAATCCCCCCATTTTTTGATGAAACTATGTTAAAGATTTGTTTATTATATTCTAATATTACGTATTAGATTTGGCTTTGTTGAAAAACAAAGCGTCCTCCTCCTTGCTTGCATTGGGGATTACTGAACGGATTTCAGCAGCTCAAGGTAGTCATTCAAAATGGTGGACCTTATGGTAGCTACCGATATGCAGCGCCATCTATTGGAGAGTAGCCGCCACAAAAAAAAAATCGTTCAGTTGGGCTACCATCCGATAGATGGCGCTTCTTGGTAAAGTGCTATCACAGACCTCACAAAATTTAACTAGTCAAAAAGATCCTTTAGGGGCGGTTGGTCGGGGTTCGGGACGGGTCTATGGCAACGAATCTTCAATGATCAAGGATCTTAAATTTCCGTGAGGGGGGTTAAAATCCCCCCATTTTTTGATGAAAAGATTATTTTAATATATTCTAATATTACGTGTTAGATTTGGCTTTGTTGAAAAACAAAGCGTCCTCCTCCTTGCTTGCATTGGGGATTACTGAACGGATTTCAGCAGCTCAAGGTAGTCATTCAAAATGGTGGACCTTATGGTAGCTACCGATATGCAGCGCCATCTATTGGAGAGTTACAAATATATTTTCGTTGGCGTAATTGGGTTACCGATATGACTTAATTCCAAATGGAAAAGATTAAATGTGCCCAATAAAAGTGATATAAAATAGTTCGTCTACCGTCCGATAGATGGCGCTGTCGACCGCTTGCGATTATACGTTGCACAAATTTCAATGACTACCCAGGACATTTCTTTCAACTTCGGTAAACCTTTTTTTGCTTATGAGAAGGACGTTAATATGAAATAAAATACGATTTATATATTCTATATTTTATTAGAATTTGCAGCAAAATATTGTCATAGACAAATCAAGGTACATAAAAACAGTTAAATACATAACTTGTACAAGTTCTTAATGTAATCTAAAGGTACTTAAAAATAAGTGTTTTGCTTTTAGTTTGTCAGAGAAATAAATGCAAAAGACAGTGATCAACAAAATCAGTAATGGTGTCAAAACGTCGGCCGAAATAGGTTTAATAAATAAATAACCATTTTTTTCACTGTTGATTTTTTAAAATATTACGGAGTTTTCTTCAATTTGGGATGCCTGTTTTTTTGTGCTAGTGAAAAAAGAGAGGTGAAATTTTCAGTACTTCAGGAAATAATCAACCGTGATCAAATTGGCCCTTGAAAAATCAGCACGACTGTCCCATTGATAAAAACTATGAAACTGATTACAAACATGCGAGTTCTAGAAAGTAATAAGTGGATATGACGTGACAAACCTTCCATATGGTCAGATAGTGCTTGAATTTAACCAAGCTACATCTTTTCGTTTTGATTGATTACAGAGCAAGCCGAATCCAACACGAGCAACGTGCATTTTATAACCGAATTATGACATACGACGCATAAATTGGGCTGACTAGTTTATCTAATGTTCCGTGCTGTACGGCACACCCTGTATATAAATTTACATCCACCATTTTTGATCTGGGAGAAACTTGACATCAGGGAGAGACTGATGTCAGAAAAGAAGTTTTCAGTATCATCGCAAACATGGAAAAATATTCTGATTGAAAAATCATGGCCCAAAAAAATTGTATAAACGATTTTTTAAACAAATTTTCAAAATTGTTTCTTTCGCGCCGGGACAAGTTTTCTTTGTTTTTGGTCATTACGAACAAAAAAGGTTCTTATGAAATTTTTTTAAGGTTTATAGTTTTCAAGATATAAGAACCCAATATTTGAAAAATGCAAAATGTGGTAGTTTTGACCCCAAAACAATATAAAAAACGAAAATTTTAATGTTGCCAAAGATCCTAAATATTCTTCAAATGCCCGTCAATAAACTCTCAAAACAATTTAGGAAGAATTTTTAAGGCAAATGCTTGTTTTTTAATTGTTTCTAAAGAAAACTGAAATGTTTCGGGACTTTGTTAAACGATATTTAGGAATTTGGCAGCATTAAAATTATCATTTTTCATACTGTTTTTGGGAACCGAAATTACGTTTTTTACTTTGTCACATATTAAATTGGTTATATCTTGAAAACTATCAACTCTAGAGAAAACTCCACGAAAACGATATTTTTAAACAAATTTTCAAAATTTGCCCCAGGCAAAGTTTTCGTTGTTTTTTTGTGGCATTCGGAACAAGAAAAGTTCTTATGGACTTTTTTGAGGTTTATGGTTTTTAAGATATCAGAATTCAATATTTAAAAAATGCAAAATGTGGTACTTTCGACCTCGAAAAATTTTAATGTCAAAATTCCTAAATGTTCGTCAAATACCCCGCAACAAACTTGGGAGGAATTTTTAATACAAACCTTTAATCGCTAAGATACGAAGAATAATTAAGAAACAAAAGTTTGCAATAACAATACCCCCTTAAATATTTCGGGATTTGGTTAAGGAATGTTTGAAGAATACCTACTAGGTACTTTGGCGACATCAAAATTATCATTTTTTTATATTGTTTTTGGGACTGAAACTTTGTCAAATACTAAGTCGCTTGTGTCTTGAAAATTATCAACGTCCATAAGGCCCTTTTTTGTTTAAAATGACGCAAGGTACCTAAACAAACGCCCGAAGCGAAATTTTTTTTTCAAATCCTACAAATTTCTGATGTAATTTTGAGCCAGGCAGATTCGTTAAAGGCAGATGCAAAAAAAATCAGAATATTTTTTTCAAACAGCTGCAAAGATCGTGGTATTTTTCGGAAATATGTGTAGGATCTCCCTGATAATAACATGTGTTTTCTGTTCAATATGTCATGATTTGTGCTTGTAACGATGATATACACTGAAAAAAACGTATGATCCAAAAACTGTTTCATTATTAGTTTTCCGTTTCATTTAAATGCGAAGTAATCACTAATTGGGAGCTTTTAAGTCTCAATTTTTGGACCACCGTTTATATGGAAAGTAGAAAATTGAGAAATAGTGTGAGTCTTAGATATTTACACGAACAACTATGTTACTACGTTTTTGTTAATACATATTGCAGTTGTACAAACTTAAACGTACAAGATGAATCACTTATCAATCACATTATACAGGATGTTTAAAAATTTAACGACCCCCCTCCATCTCCGAAAATACTGCTTCAACAAAAAAATTATCACGACAAAAGTTTCAGGACTTTGAGAGAACAATTTAGAATCTTGACCGTAACTATGAACTTCAAACACATTGAAGGTCAGCTTTAAAATTTTTAATGGCGGAAATACCGCCTCTAAATTACGATTTCATGTTAAGTTTCCAAGATAACCTTTCAAGGTCAAGGTCAATTTCAATATCATTTTCGCTCTTCCTTGGTGAGGTCAAAAAAGTATGATTCCATTTAAACATTTCATCTCGACCTTTAAATGATCTTGAACGTTATTTTGAAGGTCATCATTAGATTGTTTTCCTAAAAAAGTGTAACGTTTTTCTTAATCATTTTTTTATTTTCTGTACTCAAGATATGACGAAAAAACAATATATAAAAAAATTTTAATGTGGCCAAAGTTTCTAATTATTCTTCGAATACAATTTAGGAGGAATATTTAATGCAAATCTTGGTTTTTTAATCGTTAATTAAGCAACAAGATACGAATAATAAAAAATAAAAGTTTGCAGTAACAATACTCCCCAAAATACTTCGGGATTCTGTTAACGAATGTTTGAAGAATATTAAGGAACTTTGGCAACACTAAATTATCGTTTTTCGATACTGTTTTTGGAATCATCATCATCATTAGAAAAAAGTCCACAAAAACGATATTTTTAAATAAATTTCCAAAATTGTTTTTTTCGCTCCGGGCAAAGTTTTCTTTAATTTGTTGTGCCATTCCGAATAAAAAACGTTCTTATAAACTTTTTAAAGGTTTATAATTTTTAATACATAAGAATTCAATATTTGCAGAATGCAAAATGTGGTACTTTCGACCCCGAAAAAACACTATAAAAAACGAAAATTTTAATGTTGCCGAAGTTTCTAAATATTCTTCGAATACAATTTAGGAGGAATATTTAATGCAAATCTTGGTTTTTTAATCGTTAATTAAGCAACAAGATACGAATAATAAAAAATAAAAGTTTGCAGTAACAATACTCCCCAAAATACTTCGGGATTCTGTTAACGAATGTTTGAAGAATATTAAGGAACTTTGGCAACACTAAATTATCGTTTTTCGATACTGTTTTTGGAATCATCATCATCATTAGAAAAAAGTCCACAAAAACGATATTTTTAAATAAATTTCCAAAATTGTTTTTTTCGCTCCGGGCAAAGTTTTCTTTAATTTGCTGTGCCATTCCGAATAAAAAACGTTCTTATAAACTTTTTAAAGGTTTATAATTTTTAATACATAAGAATTCAATATTTGCAGAATGCAAAATGTGGTACTTTCGACCCCGAAAAAACACTATAAAAAACGAAAATTTTAATGTTGCCGAAGTTTCTAAATATTCTTCGAATACAATTTAGGAGGAATATTTAATGCAAATCTTGGTTTTTTAATCGTTAATTAAGCAACAAGATACGAATAATAAAAAATAAAAGTTTGCAGTAACAATACTCCCTAAAATACTTCGGGATTCTGTTAACGAATGTTTGAAGAATATTAAGGAACTTTGGCAACACTAAATTATCGTTTTTCGATACTGTTTTTGGAATCATCATCATCATTAGAAAAAGTCCACAAAAACGATATTTTTAAATAAATTTCCAAAATTGTTTTTTTCGCTCCGGGCAAAGTTTTCTTTAATTTGTTGTGCCATTCCGAATAAAAAACGTTCTTATAAACTTTTTAAAGGTTTATAATTTTTGAGACATAAGAATTCAATATTTGCAGAATGCAAAATGCGGTACTTTCAACCCCGAAAAAACACTATAAAAAACGAAAATTTTAATGTTGCCGAAGTTTCTAAATATTCTTCGAATACAATTTAGGAGGAATATTTAATACAAATCTTGTTTTTTTAATCGTTAATTAAGCAACAAGATACGAATAATAAAAAACAAAAGTTTGCAATAACAATACTCCCTAAAATACTTCCGGATTCTGTTAACGAATGTTTGAAGAATATTAAGGAACTTTGGCAACACTACATAATCGTTTTTCGATACTGTTTTTGGAATCATCATCATCATTAGAAAAAAGTCCACAAAAACGATATTTTTAAATAAATTTCCAAAATTGTTGTTTTCGCTCCGGGCAAAGTTTTCTTTAATTTGTTGTGCCATTCCGAATAAAAAACGTTCTTATAAACTTTTTAAAGGTTTAGAATTTTTAAGACATAAGAATTCAATATATTTGCGGAATGCAAAATGCGGTACTTTCGACCCCGAAAAAACACTATAAAAAACGAAAATTTTAATGTTGCCGAAGTTTCTAAATATTCTTCGAATACAATTTAGGAGGAATATTTAATGCAAATCTTGGTTTTTTAATCGTTAATTAAGCAACAAGATACGAATAATAAAAAACAAAAGTTTGCAATAACAATACTCCCTAAAATACTTCGGGATTCTGTTAACGAATGTTTGAGGAATATTAAGGAACTTTGGCAACACTAAATTATCGTTTTTCGATACTGTTTTGGAATCATCATCATCATTAGAAAAAAGTCCACAAAAACGATATTTTTAAATAAATTTCCAAAATTGTTTTTTTCGCTCCGGGCAAAGTTTTCTGTAATTTGTTGTGCCATTCCGAATAAAAAACGTTCTTATAAACTTTTTAAAGGTTTAGAATTTTTAAGACATAAGAATTCAATATTTGCGGAATGCTTGCGGTACTTTCGACCCCGAAAAAACACTATAAAAAACGAAAATTTTAATGTTGCCGAAGTTCCTAGAGATCCTTCAAAACAATTTAGGAGGAATTTTCAACGCAAACCTTTGTTTTTTAATTGGAACTTAAGCAGTAAGGTACGCAAATTACTCGTGCGCTTGATTAACAATTAAAAAACAAAGACTTCATTAACAGAAAAAAACTTAAATGTTTCGGGAGTTTGTTAACGAATGTTTGAAGAATATTTAGGCAACATTAAAATTATCGTTTTTCATATTGTTTTTCGGATAGAAAATTACGTTTTTTTTCCCTTGTCAAATATTGAATTGGTTATATTCTGAAAACTATCAACTCTAGAGGAAAGTCCACGAAAACGATATTTTCAAAATTATTATTAAATGATACTGAAGGTTATTTTCAAGGTCGGTGTCAAGGTCACCATTAGATTGTTTTCCTAAAACCCTGTAACGTTTGTCTTGACCTTTTTCTTGTATTTGAGTAGAATTTTCGGTAAAAAGGGGAGGTGTCGGAAAGTTATTGAACACCACCCTGTATATATTTATACTTCAATATTATAAGAAGCAATAGTTTGTCAAATGACTGATATACATAGATGTATGTACACCTCAAGAGACATTTGAAGAAAAAGCTTTTTTTAGGAGAAACAGTAGAAAACTTTTGATAAGTGACTCACCCTGTACACGAACAAAAGTAAAAAATAACAATCTCTTACCGATAATACTAAATATCTGCACAACTATATATATAGGTAATCGCCTATATACGTATATATAAATACAATGAGAAAAAATCGCAATAATAAACTTAAAGGCTATTAAATACTTTTTTGTTTGTTATGTACACATACAGAGTAAATAAATTCATATATTCATTGAAAAAAAAACAGACATTTTTGGGGAATGTTACCTTTGGTATAATTATGTTGGTAAAGGTTTTGTGTTTTCTAACCATACATCTAATATAATACAGAGAAATGTATACAGGAAGTACCAAAATTATACCAAGAGCATGAAACTTGTGAGAAGCTCCGCATTTTTTTTACTCTTAGCCATAATTTAGAAGATTCCTGTACTATCAATAAATATCTAAGCAACTAAAACATATAATTCTCGCAATGTTTATATATTCTTTAAGAAACAATATCACAAGAAAACGAAAAACGTGTCCACTTTTTGAGACATATCATGTGATGTTGATAATCGACATTTTTCAGATTCAGAAAAGGCGCTTATAAAAGAAAACGTGAATGTCTGGAAAAATCACTTGAACTGTTTAACCAAATCTAATAAGGTATTATTTTCCACATAAAAATAAGATCATAAATCATTCATGATTGAGACTCAATTTTAATTCCATGACAATAATAATATCTATTAAGATTTGTATTTAATTTTGAATTTTCATAACTCGTGCAACAGGCTATTTTGATTTTACAGAACGAGGATTTTTGTCCGAATTAATTAAAAAAAGGTAAACGTTGATGTGTCAGATTTCTCAAGTGATAGTTCCACAAAATAGCAATTATGAGTTTTAAATATCAAAACGATAATTACTAACGTCAAACTAATAAACAAAATCGTTTATTCTAGACAAAGAATGTTTCGTAACTAAACACTTTTTGAAACTCAAACACAACGCACTCTTAAGGGAATCTAGTAGATTTGATATTTACGGGCGATTTGAAACGAAGCTTAAATTAGTGACTGGCTTTTCATAATTATTACCGTTATGGATGCATGAAATGAACGTTTTGTAGCCCTTTGCGTTACAAAGTGAATCGGAGAGATAGATTTAGAAATAAGCTTTTTATAACCGATTTCACCTACTGAATTTTAATTTTACATGTGTGCATTCTAAACTGGAGATCTGTCACCAGTGGGGGTATAATCTTTTAACAGTTCCCTTAGCCTGATGATTTCCTTCGTAGCGACAGCCAGGTCGCTTTGCAGACCGAGTTCCTTTTCCCTTAGCCTTTTTATGTCACGTTGACAGTTCTGAAATAAAAAATTGCAGATCGATAAACGCTTCGAGACGCCGATGGTTAATTTTTGGATAGTTACGCGGAGGAACGGAGGGAAGAGCTAAAGTTAGATAAACACTTACCACATTCTGCCTGAGCAGATCCAACTTATCGCACTTCAACCTGGTGACCTCGTGCATCAGCTGTTCCGGAGTCGGGCCGTTCTCCCTGCTGCAAGGCCTTTCTTGCTGCGCCACTGTCGCGACAGACACCTGTTGCTGCTGCTGTTGACAGACCGTGCAGGATGCCTTGTTGACGTTAGCAGCCGTTTCTGCGCTGCTCATGCTCTCTAGGCCGGTGTCACTGTCGATGTATCTGTAAAAAAGAAAAAGATATATGATGGAGGTTGAACCACCTAGGTTGAGAGAAACCTCAGGGCGGTATCCTCAGTTGTTCCTACAATTATTGTAGGATGCCTTTGTGGCATGCTTGATTTTCACAGTTTTCTGCTGTTCCGTGTCAGCGCTCTATTTTGAGGTTATGTTACAAATATCTATTTGCATCAAATTGTTCACGATTTTGATTTATATCATCTGTTTCATCAGCCTGAAATTTCCTACAGTTCAAAAAGAAAACATAACCTCACAATGTGAGAGCGCTGCTGCTGACATGGAACAGCAGAAATCTAGAAATACCCCAGCCTTTCCGAAGAAGAGAAAATACTATGAAAATCAAGGACGCCAGATGGCCTTCTCGATTTTCATAGTTTTGTACTGATCCGTGTCAGCGCTGTATTTTGAGGTTATGTCACAAATATCTATTTGCATCAAAATATCTATGCTTTTGATTTATATCATCAGTTTCATCAGCCCGAAATTTCGTAAAGTTTAAAAAGAAAACATAACCTCACAATGTGACGGCGCTGACACTGAAACGGAACAGTAGTCATTCCGAAATAGGCCTTTTTGGAGGAGAGAAAATACTATGAAAATCAAGCAGGCCATAAAGGCGTCCAACAATGGTAGGACGCCTTTATGGCCTGCTTGATTTTCGTAGTTTTCTATTCTTACGTGTCAGCGCTCTGTTTGAGGTTATGTTACAAATATCTATTTGCATCAAATTGTTCACGATTTTGATTTATATCATCTGTTTTATCAGCCCGGAATTTCCTACAGTTCAAAAAGAAAACATAACCTCACAAAGTGAGAGCGCTGATGCTGACATGGAACAGTAGAAATATAGAAATACCCCAACCATTCTGAAGAAGAGAAAATACTATGAAAATCAAGAACGCCTATATGGCCTTCTTGATTTTCATAGTTTTGTACTGTTCCGAGTCAGCGCTGTATTTTGAGGTTATGTCACAAATATCTATTTGCATCAAAATATCTATGCTTTTGATTTATATCATCAGTTTCATCAGCCTGAAATTTCATAAAGTTGGAAAAGAAAACATAACCTCACAATGTGAGAGCGCTGCCGCTGACATGGAATGGTAGAAATCTAGAAATACCCCAGCCATTCTGATGGAGCGAAAATACTGTGAAAATCAAGAAAGCCCCTAGAGTCAGACCCTATAGACCTTCCTTGGGAACAATGGAACTCTCTTTGTGAAACAATGATACTTCCTTGAGGAATATTCAAAAGTTGATTTAAATTTTCATTTCACAGTAGGTTGTAAGAGTAGTCATCACAAGCTGTCATCGATGTCAGAAAGACTTTTCTTTGCTGACCGTATCAATTTAGCATTTTGATGATAAAATTGGGAGGATTTGGTTTATTTGTAAATGTCAATAAACGCTGCCTCGAATTACAGCGCAATTACAGAGAACTAAAAAACTGCATATAGGCAACCAGTTGTACCGAACTGCTCTGCTGCTATCTGCTTTTATGTTTAATGATTTGTCTAGTATCTCAATCAAAACTTCTTTGTTGTCATTCTTATAATTTATAATATAAAATTTGCGTATAAAAGATGCAGATGGTGATTTTTTTCATTTTAAAGATCCTTTTACTTATTTCATTTTGAGTCTCTTATAAAAACATGCAATCTCGCATAGTTTTCGATAAAAAAATATTTTTGGAGCTTGCTTCTAACAATTTTCTCATTACATTAAAATCAAATTCAAGCGGATAACCAAATAGACGTGGTATTTACCATTTTGGGTTGGTATTTACCAATCCGTTCAAGCGAGTGTAGTTATCAGTTTGGTTATAAGATCCGTGACGTCACGAATCAGCTGTTATATGTCATAGTTATCACCGCAAAATTGTGGTATTTACCCAACTCAAGAGTAGTTTTATATTTCTGGTTATTATTTGAAACGTGACAAGTTAGAATTTTGCCGGGAATTGGATATTGTTATTGTACTTCAGCTTCATTTTTGAGAAAAATGATACAGGCTGACTTCAGTTTTACCATAAAGTGGAGCACCTTATTAGTTATACTCATTACAGTTGTTGGGGACACTTTAAATGTAGTTCCTATGCTTAACAAAGTATCCTGTGTAGCCATATACCACAAGAATATTAAAATATGGCCATATAAACTCACTAGATGATATCCACCTGTATATGGTTTTGCTAATTTCTTTTTTCATCATTTCTGCTGAATCAATAAATGTTTGACATGCGGAAAAATTTAGAGAATTGAAAGTTATCATAGCTACAAAGCCATGGTTCCATCATTAAAAAAAAAAATCTGAAAAAACATTTCTCCCATGAATATTATGAAAGGTTTCTTATTTAAACTTTCCATATACAGTTGTAGACGAAAAAGCACCGATTATTAAGTGATAATAAAAATAATCAGAGATTATATACGCGCTTTTCTAAAATAAACAACTTGCAACAAAACCGCGGTTAAAACCAACGCGTTCAAGCGATTCGTGTAACTGACGTCATCAACCCCTGTGTCATCTTGAACCATATTATAACCGCGGCACATAACACAGAAATTTTGGTTATTCGCTTGGATTTGATTTATGTGTTCTTTGCAACGTCTTGTTATGAGTAAATCATGTTCTGGTTTTTACTTTTAATTGTACTGTTTTTGCAAGAAAAACTACTAGCTATAAAATCTACCTATTATTTCTCGCATTTTGATTGGTCCATTCAAATAAAACCCCGTCTTTTATGAAATAATAGAAATTGGCAATTCTACGAAAGATGTCATAATTTTAAAGTTCAAAGACAATGGACATCCAGAATGTACCTTTATTTATAAAACAACCACTTTTTTACGAATTTATTCAATATTTCAATAGAAATTACTGATATTAGGACAGCTTTGACAGCTTCCGTCAAATTTCCTAATTTCCCGTTAAATTTATTGGTGAAATCCACCCTCAGTGAACTTTATTCTTTCTCAGCAGTAACAACAAAACTCATATTGTCAATCTTTCAAACTTTTCTCGGACCCCGCAGTACTCGAAGTTACATCGAGTACACTACGACTAAACATCGTAAACACTGAAAACAGCCCTGCGTTTACTGGTATTTACATGACATTACAACAGATGTCGCTAAAAATGCGTGGCAATTCCATGTCCATGGAATATGGGCACAACCTGTGGATAAAAAAGGCGTCAAGTAGATTGACTCTCTACTTATCGTAGGCAGTGGGCAGTGTATTCTTAATAATGTCAGGAATAAAGACACTTTAATGAGTGATTAAACCGGAAGTTCTTAACCTGTCGACTGTCAACGATCAAACGTCAAAGAACATGCCATTCGGCGAACATAAGCGCGCGAATTTCAAATTACTGACATCTACTTTCATTTTGAATCTAAAAGTTGATAGTAATATAATTATTAACTTTGATACAACGAAATTCTGTTGAACTTATTGAATATTGGGACTGTATAAAAACTTACCCTCCGGCCAGATGCTCCTCCAGATCCTCGCTAGTCAGCGAACTGTCATCGCTGCCCGCCTCGGACAGCGCGGGCCTCGGCGACCTGTGCGCGTGCGCTGTGAGATCGGGCGACGAGGAGGCGGTCGACGAGTCGCCGCCCCCGTTGCTGCTGTTGCCGCCCAGACTGCGGTCGCCGACCCCGGCGCAGTTGATGGCGCCTCCGGTGCCGCTGTTGCTGCTGCACACGCTCGCATTGCCGACGCTCTTCTTCGAGGCGGCTGAGGCGGAGGACAGGGTGTGGATTGAGCTCTTCGAGGTCGAACGGCCGCTCTGGAAATGGAAAGAGGATAATACAGTCGGAAAATAATATCGAAAGCCGTGAATAATTTTGCTCATGCAGGTTTCTGGCTGTGGCTTTGAATTTGACTATTTTTAACACGCTTACATAACAGAATTTTTCAACATAATTTTCAGCAATCAAGAAGTCTGATTAACTTGAAAATTTGCGGAAGGGTCAAGAGCCGATCACAATATAATAATCTTGCGAAATTTGAAAATAAAAAAAAAATGAATTCTAAAATTCGAAAAAATTGGATTTGAAAATTCGGAAAATAATTTGAAGATATAAAAATTTAAATAGAAATATTAAGAAAGATTGCTTTTGAGAATTTGCCAAATAATTGGAAAATATTTTGAGGATTTATAAATTTCGAAAAAAATTAGAAAATTTGAAAATTTTTTGGAAATTTCAAAATTTATAAATACACCAAAAATCGAAGGTTTTGATTATAAGTACTTTGTTGTTGTTTTGAGTCTAAAAATTCTGAATATAAATTATAATTAAAAAGAACTAAAAAACGCCTTAATAACAAATCGATCTAAAAAGTAAAAAACAATTTTCAAGTTTAGAAGAGTTTGTTACTTCATTAGAAAATCAAAAAATCAATCAATATAAAAATTAATATATTAACGAAAATTCAATTATAGTAAAAAGCACCTAATATTAAAAAAATGAATTCTAAAATCCGGTAAAAATTAGATTTGAAAATTTGGAAAATTCGGAATTTTGGTTTTGAAAATTTGCTAAACCATTGGAAAATAATTTGAGGATTTAGAAATTTTGAAAAATTGAAAAAGTTTTGGAAATTCCGAAATTTGAAAAATATACAAAAAATCTAAGGTCTTGATCATGAGATCAAAAGATTTTTGGACATTTGCTAAAAAATTGGAAAATAATTTGAGGATTTAGAAATTTTGAAAAGAGTTTAGAAAATTTCGAAATTTCTAAAATATACCAAAAATCTAAGGTCTTGATCATGAGTACTTTTGTTGCCGTTTTGAATCTAAAATTCAGAAAATGAAGTATATTAAAAAAAACTAAAAATCGCATTAATAGCAAATCGAACTAAAAAGTAAAAAACAATTTTCAAGTACAGAAGAGTTTGTATTACAGCATAGAAATTAAAATATCAAGTATTACTAATTAATTTATTTGGAATAAATATCAATATAAAAATTAAGATATTAACGGAAATTCAATTATAGTAAAAAGTACCTAATATTAAAAAAATGGATTCTAAAATTCGGAAAAAAATTAATTTGAAAATTTGGAAAATTGGGAAAAAAAGATGGAATTTTAAAAAAAAATGGAATTTTTGAAAAAAGATTTTTGGACATTTGCTAAAAAATTGGAAAATAATTTGAGGATTTAGAAATTTTGAAAAGAATTTAGAAAATTTCGAAATGTCTAAAATATACCCAAAATCTAAGGTCTTGATCATGAGTACTTTTGTTGCCGTTTTGAGTCTAAAAATTTAAAAAATGAAGTATATACAAAAGGAACTAAAAACGCATCAATAGCAAATCGAACTAAAAATTAAAAAAAAATCAAGTATACGAGGGTTTGTGTTACTGCAATAGAAATTCAAAAAATCAAGTATGACTAATTAATTTGGAATAATATCAATATAAAAATTAAGATATTAACAAAAATTTAACTATAGTAAAAAGCGTGGGGTGATATCAAATGTTAGAATTACTTTTTAGTTGCTATTCACAAAATCGGAGTAATGGAAATATAGTTAATTGCACCTCACGCTTTTCATTAAAGAATATTTATAAATCATAATTTATTACAAATGATAATTTTGCATTCAGACGAGTCCTTGACTACAAAAAAAAAATAACATTTGTAGGTTATCGTCAAGCTCAAATATCTAATCAATAAAACAACCTCTAAAACCATTAGCGCAAAAAAAATTAATTCATTTAAAAAATGACCTTGAACGGCAAGGTTCAAAGTCACCGTCAGAAAAATCCTTAGCTTAAACTTAAGCAGAATTTCTTTTAGCGAGATTATTTTATCGATTTGATCTGAAGATATGTATAAAAAATGACCTTGAAGATCGATGTTAAGGTCAAATTCAGATCAACAGTCATATAGCCGGGAAAAATCATTTTTCAGATCACTTCGACAAGTTTTTGGATTTTGTCAAACTTTTTGAGGATGAACTACAATGTAAACACGACCTTACTGATATAATTTTTTTGTGCTCGATGTATCCGAAAACCCGATATATTTTTTTTACAGTATGCTTTATACATACCGATGGTGTCGATTCCGATATCGTAGGTTGACTTCCTTTCTTCGATAACCTATCATGGTTATTCACTCCTAAATTGTTATCCACACTCTGGCTCGTCTTCACACGTGCACTCCAGGCTTTCTTCACCGTATCTATAAACCTGAAAAAAAAACACAAAATTAATCTTGGTCAAAGTTTATGCCCAGATTTTAAGAAGAAAAAAAATTAACTCAAAAATCATAACCGATAAATCCTTAATATATACGATTCAAACATTTTTTCACAATGCCTCAATATTACGAATTTTCATTCAATGTGTTTGACAGCTGTCAAATAGTGGGAAACGTTTTTCATTTACCGATAACGGTACCCTATCAATATTTTATTCAAAATAATCTTTTTACCTGCTCCCAGGTCCCGAATCACTCTTCGGCGTCCCAGGCGTCGGCAAATTCCCGTTTCCTCCCAAAAACTCCGCCGTCTTCACTTTGAGATCATCCACCAGCGTCTGCAACAAGCTACTCCTCGTCCTCAACTCGAGCTTCGCGAACTTGTCCGCCTTGTAACACGCGTTCTCGGCGTTGATCAACTTGGTCAGGAGGAACTCCTTGAAATCCGCCCCCTTTCTGAAGATCGCTGGTGTAGGCAACGTCGGACCGAAGAACGGGACGTCGTCTCTAGCTGTCACGCTCACTTTGTACCTGGAAAAAAGAAGATACCATTGAAAAAATGAAAAAAAAACAAAAAAATGTTTGGTCCGACCTTGGACACGAACCCGGGACCTCCAGATCGGCAGCTTCTGCTCCAGCGATACCGCCAACTCAAAGATTCGGTTATGCTTGTGGCATTGGCATATGTATTTACTTCAAACGATTACGAATCAATTATAAAAAGGGTTTCAGGATCGAAGGGTCCAAAACAACAGCAGACGTACTTTTTCTCTTTAAAAAGTAGTAAAGTCAGGGGCAATTTTATAAAAAGTTGTCTCATTCGATGATCTCAGTAAAATTCTCACGTGTGCCCTTGGGTAACCTTCTCAATGCACAAGTAATGAATTTCGTCTACGGACTCCTTTAACTGCAGCACCAGCGTTGGTATAAACACGCTCTTAGTAAAATTTGCATCGGTTTTCGCGCGTTGTAAACGTTTTGCTTTCTTTGGCCGTCAGTCAGGAAGCGAAAGACGAGTGGAACGCTCGAGATGAGAGTAGATAGAGAGCGCAGACCTTTCTTATTTAACTTTGAAAGGCGCGAAGGACCATCTGTGCTCTTTCGCTCTCCAAAAACTTCGGCGGCAAACATTATTTCTGGAACAATTAACTAAAGATAGAGGCGAAACAGACAGTAGAAAATTAGAGTTAGAGGCCGGAAGCAACGAGTTGTTTGTTTTGTGTTTGCTAATTTAATTCCCGAGCTTTATCAAGTCGCGAAAGACTACAAGATAGCATCCGAGTTCAGCCTCGGATCTACTGTCAAGTAGAATGACTCCGTGGAATAAAAATAAAAGCAAATGAGATATATAGAATATTACAGGTTACATATTTTTTTTAAATTTGACTTGAAGCTTCATACCAACATTTCAAAACTTTTGTTAATGTTTTATAAAAAACACATGGGCGCCGGCAAGAATTTTTTTCAGGGTGGGGCATCGGTAAGAGATAATTTTTTGTGAAAGTCAAGTCAAATCCTTAGAATCCCTAAGATTGTTCACAAAGTCATGCTAAGTATGCACATTTCGAGGTCCAACCGGATTCGTGAATATTTATCTTTGCCTTTTTGTGAAACGGAGAACTCGGTCGGACACGCTCGTCCGCGATACCACTAAATATTTCTGTACATGCATTATAGCACAAACGAGTAACATGAAAACGAATATGCACGAACTTTCTAGCGTGTTATCGCGCGGAAAATTTACATTCAGACCGTAATTCAAACGTGAAAAGTGAATAACTTTTGTTCTCAGTGCTCTTTGTACACACTACTGCTGGCTCGTTGATAATTATGCGCTGCACAAAAGTTATGAATACGAAATGAAAGTTATTACTTGGGATATTTTCTGTATGTCGGTCAAGAGGAAATTTTGCATGAAAATGTTTATAGAAAAATCACACTGAAAAAATATATCGTTTTGGGTCTGTTATCATTTTAGTACGAGGGAGGTTCGATAAGTACTTATCTCACGGCACTATCGCAAACATTTTCAAGTATTTGTCACTAAGAAATTATTATTATTAAAATGTAAAATGTAAAATGCAACACCCAGAATTATTTATTTACTTTTTCGAAGCGTATCCTTAAAAGGATTTAATCAGAGTTCCTACAGCACAAGTAGTCTTACAACAGTCCAAAAAGCACTACACTGTTTATTTCAAATTGAAATTTTGTCCCCAAAGAGTATGTTTGCACGTTTTATTTTAGCTACTAAAAATGCAATTCGAAATGAATTTTTGACAAAAAGGAACAGGTAACATTGTTTTTCAGTCCTCTCTATACAAAAAACAACTATTACAAATTTCAAAATTTCCAAAAATTTTTCAAAATTTTCTATTATTTTCAAAATTTCTAAATCTTATAATCAAGAGATCCGATTTTTGTTACATTTTATACTTAATTTCCAAATCCTATGATCAAGAGCTCCGATTTTTGTCATATTTTATATTTGACCATAAATCTAAATTCACTTCCTTTTCTCAAATTTCAAAATTTCCAAAATTTTTCCAACATTTCCAATTTATTTTCAAAATTTTCAAATCTTATAATCAAGAAATCCGATTTTTGTTATATTTTATACTTGACCTTAACTCTAAATTTACTTCATTTTCTCAAATTTCAAAATTTTCCAAATTTTTACAAAATTTCCAATTTATTTTCAAAATTTCCAATTTATTTTCAAATCTTGTTATAATGAAGAGATCCGATTTTTGTCATATTTTATATTTGAACATAAATCTAAATTCACTTGATTTAATCAAATTTCAAAATTTTCAAAATTTTTCCAAAATTTCCAATTTATTTATCAAAATTTCCAATATATTTTATACTTGAAAATAGATCTAAATTTACTCCCTTTTCTCAAATTTCAAAATTTTCAAGAAATTTTCAAAACTTCCAAATCTTTTTATGATCAAAAGCTCCGATTTGTGTCATTTTTTATATTTGACCATAAATCAAAATTTACTTCCTTTTCTTAAATTTCAAAATTTTTCCAAAATTTCCAATTTATTTTAAAAATTTTCAAATCTCATAATCAAGAAATCCGATTTTTGTTATATTTTATACTTGACCTTAACTCTAAATTTACTTCATTTTCTCAAATTTCAAAATTTTCCAAATTTTTTCAAAATTTCCAATTTATTTTCAAAATTTCCAATTTATTTTCAAATCTTGTTATAATGAAGAGATCCGATTTTTGTCATATTTTATATTTGAACATAAATCTAAATTCACTTGATTTAATCAAATTTCAAAATTTTCAAAATTTTTCCAAAATTTCCAATTTATTTATCAAAATTTCCAATATATTTTATACTTGAAAATAGATCTAAATTTACTCCCTTTTCTCAAATTTCAAAATTTTCAAGAAATTTTCAAAACTTCCAAATCTTTTTATGATCAAAAGCTCCGATTTGTGTCATTTTTTATATTTGACCATAAATCAAAATTTACTTCCTTTTCTTAAATTTCAAAATTTTTCCAAAATTTCCAATTTATTTTAAAAATTTTCAAATCTCATAATCAAGAAATCCGATTTTTGTTATATTTTATACTTGACCATAAATCTAAATTTACTTCATTTTCTCAAATTTCAAAATTTTCAAAATTTTTTCAAATTTTCCAATTTATTTTCAAAATTTCCAATTTATTTTCAAATCTTCTTATAATGAAGAGATCCGATTTTTGTTATATTTTATACTTGGCAATAGATTTAAATTTACTTCCTTTTCTCAAATTACAAAATTTCCAAAATTTTTTCAAAACTTCCAAATCTTCTTATGATCAAGAGCTCCGATTTTTGTCATATTTTATATTTGGACATAAATCTAGATTCACTTCATTTTTCAAATTTCAAAATTTTCAAAAATTTTCCAAAATTTCCAATTTATTTATCAAAATTTACAAATCTTTTTATAATCAAGAGATCCGATTTTTGTTATATTTTATACTTCACAATAGATCTAAATTTACTCCATTTTCTCAAATTTCAAAAATTTAAAAATTTTTCCAAAATTTCCAATGAATTTTCAAAATTTCCAAATCTTCTTTCAATCAAGAGATCCGATTTTTGTTATATTTTGTACTTGACAATAAATCTAAATTTGCTTCCTTTTTTACGTTTTTGAAATTTACAAATCTTATGATCAATATTTTATATTTGACTATAAATCTAAATTCACTTCCTTTTCTCAAATTGCAAAATTTTCAAAATTTTTCCAAAATTTCCAATTTATTTTCAAAATTTTCTAATCTTATAATCAAGAAATCCGATTTTTGTTATATTTTATACTTGACCATAAATCTAAATTTACTTCCTTTTCTCAAATTTCTAAATTTTCAAAATTTACTCCATTTTCTCAAATTTCAAAAATTTAAAAATTTTTCCAAAATTTCCAATGAATTTTCAAAACTTCCAAATCTTCTTATGATCAAGAGATCCAATTTTTGTTATATTTTATACTTGGCAATAGATTTAAATTTACTTCCTTTTCTCGAATTTCAAGATTTCCAAAATTTTTTCAAAACTTCCAAATCTTCTTATGATCAAAAGCTCCGATTTTTGTCATATTTTATATTTGAGCATAAATCTAAATTTACTTCCTTTTCTCAAATGTCAAAAATTTCAACATTTTTCCAAAATTTTCCAATGAATTTTCAAAATTTCCAAATATTTTAATCAAGAGATCCGGTTTTTGTTATATTTTATTAAATCTAACTTCCTTTTCTCAAATTTCAAGATTTTCCAAATTTTTCGAAAATTTCCAATTTATTTTCAAAACTTCCAAATCTTCTTATGATCAAGAGATCCGATTTTTGTTATATTCTATACTTGACAATAGATCTAAATTTACTCCTTTTTCTCGAATTTCAAAATTTCCAAAAATTTTTCAAAACTTCCAAATCTTCTTATGATCAAAAGCTCCGAGTTTTGTCATATTTTGTATTTGAGCATAAATCTAAATTTACTTCCTTTTCTCAAATTTCAGAAATTTCAAAATTTTTCCAAAATTTTCCAATGAATTTTCAAAATTTCCAAATATTCTAATCAAGAGATCCGATTTTTGTTATATTTTATTAAATCTAACTTCCTTTTCTGAAATTTCAAAATTTTCCAAATTTTTCGAAAATTTCCAATTTATTTTCATAATTTCCAAATCTTCTTATAATCAACAGATCCGATTTTTGTTATGTTTTATACTTGACAATAAATCCAAATTTTCTTCCTCTTCTGAAATTTCAAAATTTCCAAAAATTCCATATTTTATAAACTTGAGCATAAATCTGAATTTATTTCCTTAAATTTCAAAAATTTTCCAATATTTCCAAAGAATTTTCAAAATTTCCAAATCTTTCAATCAAGACATCCGATTTTGTTATATTTTGTACTTGTCAATAAATGTAAATTTGCTTCCTTTTTTTTACGTTTTTGAAATTTACAAATCTTATGATCAATATTTTATATTTTACTATAAAATCTAAATTTACTTCCTTTTCTCGAATTTCAAAATTTCCAAAAATTTTTCAAAACTTCCAAATCTTCTTATGATCAAAAGCTCCGAGTTTTGTCATATTTTGTATTTGAGCATAAATCTAAATTTATTTCCTTTTCTCAAATTTCAGAAATTTCAAAATTTTTCCAAAATTTTCCAATGAATTTTCAAAATTTCCAAATATTCTAATCAAGAGATCCGGTTTTTGTTATATTTTATTAAATCTAACTTCCTTTTCTGAAATTTCAAAATTTTCCAAATTTTTCGAAAATTTCCAATTTATTTTCATAATTTCCAAATCTTCTTATAATCAAGAGATCCGATTTTTGTTATATGTTTTATACTTGACAATAAATCCAAATTTTCTTCCTCTTCTGAAATTTCAAAATTTCCAAAAATTCCATATTTTATAAACTTGACCATCAATCTGAATTTATTTCCTTAAATTTCAAAAATTTTCCAATATTTCCAATGAATTTTCAAAATTTCCAAATCTTTCAGTCAATACATCCGATTTTTGTTATATTTTGTACTTGTCAATAAATGTAAATTTGCTTCCTTTTTTTTACGTTTTGAAATGTACAAATTTTATGATCAATATTTTATATTTGACTATAAAATCCAAATTTACTTCCTTTTCTCAAATTTCAAAATTTTCAAAATTCCCAATTTATTTTCAAAACTTCCAAATCTTCTTATGATCAAGCGATTCGATTTTTGTTATATTCTATACTTGACAATAGATCTAAATTTACTCCCTTTTCTCAAATTTCAAAATTTCCAAAATTTTTTCAAAACTTCCAAATCTTATGATCAAAAGGTCCGATTTTTGTCATATTTTATATTTGAGCATAAATCTAAATTTACTTCCTTTTCTCAAATTTCAAAATTTTCAAAATTTTTCCAAAATTTCCAATGAATTTTCAAAATTTCCAAATATTTAATCACGTGATCCGGGTTTTGTTATTTTTTATTAAATCTAACTTCCTTTTCTCAAATTTCAAAATTTTCCAAATTTTTCGAAAATTTTCAATTTATTTTCTTAATTTCCAAATCTTCTTATAATCAAGAGTTCCGATTTTCAAAATTTTCAAAATTTTTTCAAAATTTCCAGTTTATTATCAAAATTTCCAAATCTTCTTATGATCAAGAGCTCCGATTTTTGTTATATTTCAGATTTGACCATAAATCTAAATTAACTTTCTATTCTCAAATTTGAAAATTTTCAAAAAATCTTAAAAATTTTAAATTTATTTTCAAAATTTCTACATCCTCTTATAAACAAGAGATCCGATTTTTATTATATTTTATACTTGACAATTAATCTAAATTACTTCCTTTTCTCAAATTTTCAAATTTTCAAAAATTTTTCAAATTCCCAATTTATTTAAACAATTTTCAAATCAAGATAAAGAGCTCCGATTGTTGTTATATTTTGTATTCTCAAATTTCAAAATTTCCAAATCTTCTTATGATCAAGATATGTCGCATTTATATTTAACAATAAACATAAATTTAGGTACTTCATACTACAACATAACAACCCCGTAGAGATCATTTTCACTTACCTTGTGTTTGGTGTGTTGGGTTCAATCGGTTGCACCACAATGAACGTATGCAAAAAATGCGACGCGATCATGTCAGGCGTAAACGGCGTGTTCTCCTCTTGGAACACTATAGCGACGATATCGTTTCCGATATGCCTCTTCCTCTGCAACTGTTGGGGGTCGTTTTCAGTGTACGGCAGCAACGTGGACACGTGGAACATGATTTCGCGTTCTTTGAACACCTCGTACACCGCCGTGTCGCCCGTATGGCCGTTTTGGATGTCCAAACCTCCTCGGTAACTGAAAAAAAAAAACAAACAACCCTCGTATTCCGTACAACAACCAACAAATCTTATCAACTCACCCTTTGTGGTCTCTGAGTTGTATCCTCCGGCCCAGCAAATTCAAAAATTCGTCGAAAGCGGGAGTGGTAACGTTGTTGCAGAACAGCTCCTCCTCATCCGTCTGCCCGATTCTCTGATGCAAGACTCCGAATTTGAAGTAGGACACCAGCACGTGTTCGTCATAGTTGGCTATGAGCTGGGAGGCTTTGGGGTGGAGAACCGGTGAGAAGTTGTCTACGTTCAACTGTTCGTTCAATAGCTTGGCCATCTTTGCTGGGCTCGGGTTTGGCCCTGAATAGAAACAAAAATTCTTCATTCTTAAACGCGGCTTCAATCTCTGAAGAAAAGGTCGGCCTTTAATATCCGCAGTAGTGTATACCGGGTGATTCAAATTCGACCCTTTCAAACACAATGAGATCGCAGATCGTATACATTTTTTTTGATAAATAAAATAACTCTGTAATGTTAAGTAAGTAAGATAAATAACATTTTTATGATTGTCTCATTGATATTTTAGCTATTGAAAATTCAATTTTCAAGATTTCTTACCTAGACAAGATGAAGGTACTATTTCATGCATGGTTCCTGTTCTTAGACGTAAAAGGATCCGTGTGTGTTCCTGATTCGCGACATTTTCTGTCTTTATCGACAACAGCACCGGTCCTAGGTGTTCATCGTGGCCTATAAGGGTTGAATGCTCCTGGAAATAATAAAAAACGAATTTGAAAATTTCTTTACAAGCTGATTATGAAAACATATTTCCCTTAGGGCGGTACCGTAGCCCCCACTTACGAATATAGGAAGATTAAATTATGATTTAAAAAACTAAAAAACACGACTTAATAGCAAATCGGGCTGAAAAGTAGAAAATAATTTTCTAGTATACAGGGTGTTTCAGTTTATTGTTGCATAACTTTAAGATTCGATAGAACTTTTAAAATTAATGCATAAAGTCTATATAAACATGGGTCGAAAAATGCGTGGCTTCCGAAATACAGGGTTTCAACAGACAACAAAACTAACTGTCAACTAATTGACGTTTAACCTTATTCTGCTTTCAATTTCAAAAATATTTGCAGGCACAGCCTACTTCTAAAAATTATCGAGATACTGACTTTTTAACGTTATTTTATCATAAATAATTAAAAATGCATCGAACCTTAAAAATCGAAATATCTCAAAAACGGCTAACTATAACGAAAATTCACAAGAGAGCTTTTTTATGTTGAAAAGTGCGAGGAATCAGTTTCTTTATTCAAAAATCAAAAAATTGCACTAAGGAAAAATTTTCGGTCATTTTAATACACTACAGGTACAGTAGAGAGCGCCCTCTAGCGGCTACAGTAAAACTATGCCCATGGTTCGTTTTGTCGTACCAAAAAACCCTTGTATACCAATTTTCACTGTTATACATCAAATATTGTTCGAAATATTTAGAAAAAACTATTTTAGAAAGTAAATTTAAACACCCTGTATTTCGGAAGCCACGCATTTTTCGACGGATGTTTATATAGACTTAATGCATTAATTTTAAAAGTTCTATCGAATCTTAAAGTTATGCAACAATAAACTGAAACACCCTGTATATGTATATGCCTAATGAATTTTGAATAAGATTAATATAAAAATTAAGATACAAACAAATAATTCATCTATAATAAAAAACCACGGGATGCTTGATATTAGACGTTAAAATTAGATTTTTGGTTGCTATTTGCAAAATTAGATTTATTATGAAAATATATTTAATTGTACCATATGATTTTTTACTAAAATTGATATCTTAATTTTTATATTGATCTTATTTCAAAATTCATTATTCATACTTAATTGTTGAACTTTCTATTACGGTAACAAACTCTTCTATGCTTGAAAATTATTTTCTACTTTATCGTCCGATTTGCTATTAAAGCGTGTTTTTTAGTTTTTCTTCAATTGTAATTTATTTTTTGAATTTCTAGTCTCAAAGCAACAACAAAATTATTTATAACCCAGAGCTTCGCTTTTTGGTTTCTTATATATTTTACAAAGAACCTACATTACTTCCAAATTTATTCAAATTTCCAAAAAATTTGCAAAACTTAGAAATCTTATTTTCCAAATTTCCGGATTTTTTAATGCAAATACAAATCCTCAAATCCAATTTTCTTCCAAATCACAGAATTTAAATTTTTAAAGAAATTCTCAATTTCAAAGATTATTGTATTGAGCCCTGTGCAAATTTTCATAGATTTCAATCATTCACATCTCCCACAAAAAAAACAACTCTCTCGTTCAAATGCTCTTATCAGCAAGCAGAAATAGTCTCACAAAAAATGCCTGACGCTGATTCGTCAACCAATACGATCGTCTTTTCTAGGTCAACCAATAGGAATAAAGATGATTCTATTTCTCCGCGCATAGCGCAAAAAACAGGAAAGATTAGTGCGAACGCTCGTATCAGTAAACAGAGTTGTCCCTTATGGGGATTGGTCGACCAGTACGATCATCGTTTACGCTCTGTTTTGTCGGACTCACCAATACAAATCGTAGATTTTACGACCATGCGACAGGTCGTGCAGTCGAAGCGTTCGCTCTTACTCAAGCGCCGACCCAGCTGGTGACGAGCCATACTTTTTCCACCGCGTCTCGTCACATGCCAGTAGCCTGCTGCATCTCTTTCGGACCATGCAACCTGTCCCTTACAGCACTGCTGTCCTGCGCCCCCTGGGTAACTCAGACCACGGTGTTGCGGAGGTTAGGTTCCGGTCAGCAGCAGAAACTCGCCCAGGCCGCAAAATGTGGCATTACGGACAAGCCGACTGGGAGGGACTCGGAGACTTCTTATCTACCTTTCCTTGGAGGGATGTCCGCTTCACTGACGCGGACGCGTCGGCTACCTGATCTTCGATATCCGAAATTATCCACGTCGGAATGGAGGAGTACATCCCTCATACAGTCTAAGTGCCTAAACCAGGGTCCAACGGCTGGTTTAACAAATCGTGTGGCACTGCTCGCCAGCAGAAGATCAGGACACACGGAACTTTGTTGCAGAACCCCACTGTGGAAAATAGACTGGCCGACGTCGAGTCCAGAAACAAATATAACGAAGCGGTTCGCAATGCCAAAAACCAGCACGATATTCAAGTCAGGCACCGGGTAATGGACGCTGGCCAAGCAGATTGAAAAGAACTTCTCACACAGTAGCCTTCCACCACTTGCGTGTCAGGATGGAACGATTGTATTAGTCTCCAAGGGCATGGCTATGCAAGTTCTTTGCTGCCAACTCCACCATGGACGTCCCCCCCAACGCCCAAGTCCTGTCAATTCAAAGGGTTCCCTACACTATGCGGGAGGTAACATTCAGGCATAAGGCCGCTAGCCGAGTGCTCTTGTCGCTCGACATAAATAAAGCTTCTGGTCCTGACTTGATTCCTGCCGAGACCGAAAAGCCAGCTGCAACAAGAAGAAATTTGGCCGTAGCAGGTGATGAGGCCAAAGAAAAGAGGAGAAGACCGACTAGTTGTACACCCAACAGGGGAAAGAACAGCCCGTGTACAACGGGTGGACAAAAAGAAGCCTGTCGATTGCGGTGGCCAGAGTCAAGCACGGACTCGGGGCTAACTTTAGGAGACGAACGACTAACAGCAAATGACCGACTGACGACGACTGACTGACTCCAGTCGACGAGGAAAGAACGAAGGCTCACCAACCTTAATGCGGGGCTTAGGTCAAAGCCCCGAGCGCAGGACCTCCAAGAAAGAGGCCGTCCATAAAGTCCAGAACCGACAGTTGGAAGAAACGTCCACCACGTGCTTCCGCGACGCGTGCGCGATCGAGTCAAATTTCGGGAAAAAGAGGAAAAATTGGGGAGGGGGGTTAGCTCGTTCGGCAGCACACACTCGGGGAATGCGCAGCGGCCTGAACCACGCAGCGCCACGCCAGGCCTTCGGGCGGGAGAGGAGGGAGGATCAGATTGCTCTTCCCCCCACTCCTCAAGGGTTTGAGGTTGCCTGGAACAGGGATGGTGGAGGGACCGCACAGGGTAGGAGGTTGTGTGTGTGATTCCTTCCATTGTACCGAAGAGGTGAGCAGCGGAGCTTGCTCCAGTTCTTTCGCGTCTCTTCCAGATATCTTATGAATCCGGTACCTTCCCCGAAAACTGGAAACTTGCCCATCCCAATATAAGGATCTAAGACCGACCTTACAACTATAGGCCTATAGCTCTGCTATCTGTAAGTAAGGTGATGGAGAGGTGCATAAATCGCGAGGTTCTGGACTACCTCGAACGTCACAGCTTGATTAGCAACAGGCAGTATGGTTTCCGGCACCACCGAGCCACAACGGTCCTCCTAGCTTACGTCATACAATTGTGGAGTAAACTCCAGTCTTATGGAGAGGATCATGTCGTTGATCTTGATATCACGAAAGCGTTCGATCAGCTGTCCGTTGCCCTCTTAAGCACACTTCCATGCTATGGCCTCCCAGAAAAGCTTTGCAGATGGGTGGCTGACTTCATCTCCGGCCGCAAGATATCCCTCGTAATTGACGGGTTCTCCTCTTCATCCCGCAACGTCAACGCGGGTGTTCCCCAGGGAGCGGTCTTGGCTATCAACTACCTCCTTTCCTGCACGATCAACTCAATCCAATTGAAATTGGTGAAAGTTAGGTTGAAAGGTTCTTTTTTTTCGTCTTTCTTATTCTGATGCCTTCAAAATGTTTTGGTACAGCTCTAAAAACATCTGAGACTTCTAAAAAGGAGGTTTGAAAACATTATCGGAGAGCATCTCGATTTCGTCATTTCTGTTTATTATAATATTTGCTTACTAATTAGGGTTGGTAGTGAAATATTTTTTGAGTCAATTTTTAAAAAACCCTTTTAGTTTAGCTCAAACGTCAATGCTACAGCTTTAAAAAGGCGGTTCTATTGCCATCGACATTACCAGAAATGAGAGTTGAAGAGTCCGTTTTCAACTCAGAAGTGGGATGATGACTAATTCTAGTAACCAGTGCCTAAAAGTTGGGTACTTCAAATTTGACAACTTATCTAATGGTAATACTATTTGAATCATGGTATCAAAATAGCAACTTTGCGAATTTGGGAATTGGGCTCCCTGATGACACAGTACAGACAACATCCAAACTGTTGCGAGGTAGGGGTGATCCTGTTTACCGAAATAGCCTCTAATGAATCATTTACCCCCAACAGTTCGCTGACGACGTTAAAACGCCATGACCTTTCCATGAAATGGCGATCGATGATGATTAGCCAAATTGAATGAACACCGAAAAACGCTCGTATGTGGATCGATTCTCCCAGAAAATTTCCACGAGCATGAATACAGAATAATCCGTTTATCCTCGAGGTCAACCTCCCCCTCACTTTCCGAGTTATTTGAAATATGTTAGTTACATTTTATCATCGGAGATATATATATATCCTCACATACTACTGTAAGTTAAATCATTCTAAATTCATTTTACACTATTGTTGCTACTGTTATCATTGTAATTGCAGCTCCTGATGATGATGGCAAAGTCCATTGAAAGCTAGAGAGAATTAAAAAAGTATAAAGAGTCCTCTTTGCTTAAATTTTGTCGAAGTACCCAACAAAAGGCGGAAGCTTAACTTTTCACCTAACTGGTCTAGACGACAATGACCACGTCTCAATATATATATATATATCAAGCTTTGTCGGGGACTAAGGAGGCCTTAAGTTG